CATTTTACAAAATGCCTAAATTTAGAAAATGCCTGTTACATATATATATGCCGTTAATGACGTCTTTACACTAAATCAATTGCATGTTGGACGTGTACTGATTGAGCACTTACAAACATGTTAAACCCCGCCACATTCATTATGTTCCTGTCCCAAGTCAAGAGCTTGTAGTTCAGTGGTTGTCGTTGGTTCATGTCTGTCATATTTGTTTTTCGTAAATTGTTTTGTTATAAATTAGGCTGTTAGTTTTCTTAATAGAATTGTTTCATATTTTTCATGTCGGGGCCATTTATAGCGGACTATACGGTATGGTTTTTATCATTGTTGAAGGCCGTACGGTTGCCTATAATTGCTTACATCCACTTCATTTGAATTTGGATGGATAGTTGTCTCATTGGCAATCATATCACATCTCCTTATGTATATATATATACAAGTATGTAAACATAAATTGCATTCATTCCTTCATCATGTAAATACGTATACAGTTTGCAGTTCGAAAATGTTTTTAGGTTAGGTTTATCTCTGCCGATTAGGCTTTTGTCTCGCCTATTGCAGTCTGGGCAATTATGGGATTATGTTGGTTGAGGGTTCATATGATAATTTGCTATACCGGGGCCTTGTATAGTTTACTATACATTATGGGTTTTGCTTATCTTTATAGGCCTAACGGTGACCTCTGATTGTTAACAATCTCTCTCCTTTAATTTTTCTATGGATAGTTGTCTCCTTTGGAATCGTTTTCTAGATATGTGAGTTAATTGGACAGCAAACGCACAACCTAAATAACCAAAAGGACTTATAAAAGACGTCATCTCACGGTAGATAACACACAAGTGAAAGCTCTAAATTGCCAAGAATCTCGAGTTGTGAATTTGTCTACTAGAGGTCTGCCATCCACAATTTGTCTAGTGAGACTACTAGAGGTCTGCCATACATAATGTATATGTTATGAAAAAATTAGGCACTTCTATCGAGTAGAAATGGAGAACGGTCATCTTTATTTTGTATGTTCCCACTATGGGAGCGTGGTCCTCCCTAAACCTTGTTTCTGAAGTACGCGATAGCTATTCTTCTCTCAAAAATAATTATCCACTAAAATGTATTGAAACATAAAAAATATATTTAAAGACATCAATAAATTCTAACTGCTAGAGATTTTTGAAGCAGAATTGCCGGAATCTACCTTAACCGATGTTGTGTCAGTATATAGCCCAACGTTGTCAATTTCCGGCGCCGAAAATGTCAACGTTAATGTCATTTAAAGTTGGATTCTTTACTTCTTTGTAGCAATTTTGTTTATCTGAATGCCAAGGAAGTCATGCGATATGTTGAATTCATATCAAAGTTATACCAAAACAGGCCGAGCTTGGTAAACTAACAGTTACATATGTATAGGCCTACATCATCATGGGATTGATTTGTTGATATCGTACTTCGTTGATCCATATTTATTTCGTGAATATTGTTAGTATGTTAACGGCCGATGACTTTGTAATGAGCATCTAACCTGAATAGGCCATAGAAAAGCTATCGTTTTTTTGTCTTCATAAGTTTCCTTTCGTTAATACAGTTATCGTTATGTGTTTTGTTTTGTTTCTTTTTTGAAAAAAAGAAAGGGGGGGGGGGGTAATTTTGTCAAAGGCATGTGTCATTTTTAGGGGCTCATGATTCTTAATTTCTGGTTTGCAGTGTTGGTTTAAACTCTTCATGACTTTACTTTTTAAAAATTCAATGTGCAGTTTCTTAGGGCATTGATATACATGTATAATGACTATTAGACTAGTATTAATATATCTATGCATAGGGGGAGAACCATTTGCTATTCTAGCTAGGTGGTGGGAAGGGAATCCTGGTCTGTTCGCTCTGGGTCCTTTCGCCCTGTTCTTTCTTTTATTTTGTCTTGTTTAATCACGAACATATATATATATATATATATATATTGACAGATATACTGTTCCCAGGTTTAATGTAAATTAGTTGAATGAAGTATGTAAAAGTTTGTTGACAATTTAGTGAATAAACTGCATAAGCCATAACGTGTGAGGTAGTAGGATTTTTTTTCTGTATTGACTTTTTATTTGCATCCATTGCTACACATGCTTTTCTTTCTAAATATATTTTCACTTTTGCATACTCACTGATGCAGAATATTCATTTTCAGCCTGTATTGTGTCATGTTATTTAGGGGCCTTTTATACATGTAGCTCACTATGGGTTATTGGTTCTGCTCATTGATGAAGGCTGTCAGAGACCTATACATATATTTATTAACCTTTCCGTCATAAGGTATCTGGTGGAGAGTTGTCTCATTGGCAATCATACCCCAACTTCTTATCTTTATATTGTCGGAATTGTAATCAAGTCTTAAGCAGGCAAACTGAAAGGGAACTGTAGTACCTTTAATAAATAACTACTTACAAAAAAAAATTACACATACAAACAAGAGGCTCTCAAGAGCCTGAATCGCTCACCTGTAATTTTTTGCTTAAATCTTTCATCAATGATTATTTTTGCTTTTCAATATATATTAATGAATGGCTTAAAACTTCCATTGAAATGTTCTTTGTATCTGTCATATTTTCTTCAAAATCAAAGAAATGCATTTTACCCGTATGTTTCATTTTAGCCATAGTGGCTATGTTTCTTGACGTACAAGAAAATAAAATACAAAATTTATACTAGATACTCTGAAACTCATTCAGCCCAAGTTTGGCTGAAATTGATTCAGCAGTTTCAAAGAAGAAGATTTTTTAAAGTAAGCAAACTAAATGAACAAATTGTGAAAAATTGATTTTTAAGGGCAATAACTCCTTAAGGGGACAATTAACAATTTTGGTCATACGAACTTATTTGTAGATCTTACCTTTGCTGAACATTTTTGCTGTTTAGTTTATCTTTATCATTAATAATATTCAAGATAATAACCAAAATCTGCAAAATTTCCTTAAAATTACCAATTAAGTGGCAGCAATCCAACAATGGGTTGTTAGATTCATCTGAAAATTTCAGGGCTGACAGAGCTTGGCCTAATAAACATTATTACCTCGCATCAGATTAGCTCTAAATGCTTTGGTTTTTCAGATATAAGCCAAAAATTGCATTTTACCCCTACGTTCTATTTTAAGCCATGGCGGCCATGTTTTTTTACGAAACAGAAAATAAAACACAAAACTTTATTCTAGATACCCTTAGAATCATTCAGCTTACGTTTGGTTGGAGTTGGTGAAATCGTTTCAGAGAAGAAGATTTTTTAAAACATGATAAACAAATTGTGTAAAATTGTCCTTAAAGGGCAATAACTCCTTAAGGGGTCAATTGACAATTTTGATCATATGAACTTATTTGTAGATCTTACCTTACTGAACATTTTTGCTGTGCACAGTTTATCTTTATCATTAATAATATTCAACATAATAACCAAAAACTGCAAAATTTCCTTAAAATTAACAATTTAGTAGCAGCAACCCAACAATGGGTTATCAGATTCAACTGAAAATTTCAGGGCTGATAGAACTTTACCTAATGGACACTTTAACCCCAGTCAGATTTGCTCTAAATGCTTTGGTTTTTGAGATATAAGCCAAAAACTGCATTTTACCCCTATATTCTATTTTTAGCCATGGCGGCCATGTTATTTGACGAAACAGTAAATAAAACACAAACTTTATTCTAGATACCCTAAGCATCATTCAGCTTAAGTTTGGTTGGAATTGGTTCAGTAGTTTCAGAGGAGAAGATGTTTGAAATAGTTTACACCAGACGGACGACGATGGATGCCAAGTGATGGCAAAAGCTCGCCGTTCCGAAGGAACAGTGAGCTAAAAATCTATGAAATATTCCAAGGATACGATTTAGCTAGCCATATGAAATAATTTTTTTGTATGTTGTGCACCTCTTTTCTCCTTTCAGTGGCAGGGGCTATGTTATATGGTTGCCTGTATCATAACTTGTTATAGGATATAGTTATGCAGTGTTGAATGTCGGTCCCAATGGGACACAGATCCCCACCCCAAATTGAAAGGGATAAAATAATTAAATTATTTCACTCAATCTCAACAACAGGGCAAAAGTGAAGGAAATCAATCTATGCATACTAGATTATTTAAGTATGTGATATGTGATAAATATTCAAAAGTGAGATTATTTGATCAAATCTAGCCTTGTGATACAATTTCTTGAAAAAGTATTAAAGCAAAATTGAGTTCTTCAACAACATATGGGTAAATGTTTAATTTTCCATGAATAAAGTCCAATAATTCTGGAAAGGCAAAACTTGAATTTGCCAAAAGCGAAGTGAGCTTTCTGTAAATTACACTCATACAAAATAAAAGGGAAACATGCACTTGAGGCCAGAGGGAAGATATATTCAGTTGTCAAAAGTATAAATAAAACATATGGAATCTTATTAATTATATAACAGTGATATTGCTTTGATAAAAAAATTCATGAAAACAACTGAGTCAATAATCTGAATTTTTTACTAAATATTGTAACATTTCACTTATGCACATTTTAATGTTGATGGGTCTCACATATTTAAAAATCCTCTTTTTACTACACTTTGGAGCCCATAGTCTGCTAAAGCTTCATTTATTTAATCCTGCATTAGTTCAACAAAAATGTCTGCTAATAATCACTTGAACCACCTGAGTTATTTGGTGGGGTTACCATTCGGTACATGAATATATCTCTCTTAAGGATGTTCGCTACTCTGTTTCAGAATAATAAGCTTTTTAAAAGACTGTTATAAATTGACAGTATATAAATAAAGGAACTAAAAAAGCAGATAAAAATGAAAGGTCCGTGTGCTTGTTTTCGAGATATAAGCCATTGAAAATTTGGCGGGAAATGATTCTTTCTAGATTTTTCATGCATTTAACATTGGCACCTTTTTTCTGCATAAAAGTATGAAAAAATAACAAGGATTTAAAAAGATTTTCAAAGATGGTATTTAAAACTATATTTAATCAAATTATGAAAAGAAAATTAGGGGTTAGTGGGCAAAAATTTGTAATGTCACTACATGGATAAAACCAGAGGATTCCGAATATCTGGCAAAAATTCAAAAACAAGAGGAGTGAACATCCTTAATAAGTTTCATATACATTTTGTAAATTGCTGATTCCAGGTATTAAATTTTTTATTCTCCAGTAAAATTATTCTTCTGACATGATGTGTTGTGTACTGAAAAAAAGAAAATATTTTGTTATTAAATTAAGTTTGTTAATTCAATCAAAACGTAATGAAGAATGATAATTATAATATATTGTATTTCATTGTTATGGCCATCTATGACCCCAATACAGTCTGCTTAAGTCATTCTCTTATCTGAAAAAAATGGACAAATTCATTGAAATACTTCATTAGGATATAATGCACATCTTGTAAAAGTTACTTCCCTTATATTGCTTTTAATCATTGAAATTAATTTTAAATTACTGTACCCTTCATTCTTGAAATTAGGTTTTAAATCTAGATGAAACAATATTAACATTTATACAGCATAGATAATAGAATAAAATCTTTAAACTATTAAAAGTATACCATTTGGCCTTAAAGTCTGAATGATTCCTTGGCCTATATCCTTTAAATTTTAAGTTCTAGTCCCAATTTATTCCATTGGCAACTTTCATGTCTGACTGTTAAATGCAGAATATTTTCAGTCTGTTTCCTTATGAAAACAGTTTAAATACCATGTATATTATGTTTTTGTTTCATATTTGGGGGATTGAAATCATAGCACATTGTCAATAACCCACTTTTGTAACCCTAAACAGACAATTTTGGATTACTTACCCTTAATATATTGTAGTCCTATTGTTTTCTGTTAACAAAAATAATTTTGCTTTCAACATCACTGGACATTACATTTGATTACTGTTTTCTTGTTGTATGTACAGAATATCATACATATACAAGTATTTTTGTTTGAATAAAAAGGTCCTCTGTTTTGAAATTTTGATCCATAGTGAACATCTTTCTCCATCCTGTAAATATAAAGCAAATTTACATACAAATACTAATGTATATATACTAAATTATTCAAAGCAAAATTAAACTTTGCATTGTTATTATCAACACATGAATACACATTTGCCAAATAAATTACCAAGAAAATACATGTATATGTATTTATTAAGTATTATAGATAATTATGCCCCCAGCATTTTTGCTCAATACATGTACATAAAAGTTTCAAAGAAAAATTTTCAAAAGTCTTGAAAAATAATTTTTAGGTTTAACAAGGAGCAAATTTATGTCATACCAAACCTTTTAATAACATTTTTATATTTAATAGCTTGCATAAACATCATAAGATCATAACATGTCCATTGTACAATGCAAGCTGAAATTTTATACATTTTGGGGGGCACTCACAACCCAGTTTTATTTTAATTTAAATCCTGGAACCACCACTGTCATGACTGTATTATCACTAAATTGACACCTTGAATTTGACAATATTAATGAAGTTTGAGAAAGTAATATTATTAATGGATTATCATTTCTAATTAGATTATGTATATAATCATTGGAAGAATATAACATGTCAGATATAACATGAATAAAGAAATTGTAAATTAATTAGTTTCTGGGGATTCATGTAATGCAAAGCAGCATGTGTACAAGCTTTTCAAATGGGTGGGTGATTGGTTAATTTCAATGTGTAAATTTCTTTTATAATTTCAGAGATATGATTTAGAGGATGGCTATCTTAATTAATTTTTTTATGGGTACATGTCCATGTAATCATGCATGGTAATAACTGAACATAAAATAAACATTGTTCAAGAGTGCTGACACAGGATGAACATGAATATTCTGTCCAATAAAAAGGTCTTTAAGGAAAGAACAATTGTGTACAGATTGAAAAAAAATTAATAACTTAAAGCCATAATAGCAAAAAATAAGAAAATGAATATAATGTCCCCTTAAATTCCTCCTACCTAAAAATAAAAATTTCCGTTGTGTGTGGATAGTGAACCCCCCCTTTTTGTGGGAAAAATTTGGTTGATTATATAGGGAATCACTGAAGCATGACTGGAGCGGGCCCCCCTTAGGTCAGTCAGTGCACCCCCACCCCCCTTACAAAAGGTTCTGGATCCGCCACTGCATTGTATATGAAATGGGACGAATCTATTAATATATGTATTAGACCAGCTATAAAATAGCCAACAGTTGAAGTGAATATGTCTTACATTCTAATGATTTACAGTGGCAAATCCAGAAATTTTAATAAGAGGGGGCCTGCTCCAGACATGCGTCAGTGATTCCCTATATAATCAACCAAATTTTTCCCACAAAAGGGGGCCCGGGCCCCCTGACCCCCCCCCCCCCCCCCCTAAATCCGTCTCTGATTTGATAATGGACTTTTGAGTTGAATTTGAGACGGTCAGCAAAATTCATGTGTATTTGGGGGAGAAATTACCCCCTTTTAGAGAACTTACAGTCGGCATTACACGTGATCATCCGTGCTTTCAAATTTGATTAATTTTGGTCCGTATTTGCTGTTAGAGGTTTACAATGTTCTATTATCTGAGCACGAAGTGATAGCGTGAATATTTTCCAGGGAGATTGTGAAGAACACTTTGAACAATTTGAAAACGGATGTTGACAACTTGTGTGGGTATAATATTCCCGGAGACAAGGACGGATACCTAAGACCGAAATCCGAATATAATTCACCAGAGGTTGGTGTAAATAGTGTATTCAATATATGAAAAGAAAATGATGAAAATGGGATTTCAATTTTCATGTTTCATATAATTTTACACTTTATTTTTGCCGTTTAAATCATTTTTTGGGATCCCACTTATTTGAAAATACCCCTGTCAATTTGCAGTTTCTAACCATGGTACAACCATGGTTAACCGTGGTCAACCATGGTGGTATGGAGATGGTTGACCATGGTTTGACAAAATTGTTAATTGGCCGACCATGGTTAACCATGGTTTTGATGACCATGGTTGACTCATCAATAACCATGATTCCAAACATGGTCAACCATGGTTGGAACCATAGCCAACCATGGTTGGAACCATGGTCAACCATGGTCTTCAAAAACCATGGTTAACCATGGTCGGCCATTTAACAATTTTGTCAAACCATGGTCAACCATCTCCATTAAACCATGGTTAACCATGGTTGGCCATTTAACATTTTTGTCTAATCATGTTTAAAATGTTAAATGGCCGACCATGGTTAACCATGCTTCCTACTGGCATGTTTCCTACAATCTACAATTTTCTTGAAACACTGATCGTCTTCTTGTTACGACGCCTTGTATACTTCTCTTCCTTTCTGTACACCAGGACTAGTCACTTCCAACAAAGGCTGAATTACAGATTTGCATGAAAATCTTTAAAGATACCCAGGCAGATGTGTTCATCCATAAAGCTGTTTCCACCTGCAAGAACATAAAATTTCCCACAAAGAATCAATAGCTCCTGATATTTTATAAAACAGATTTTAGGAATCAAATTCAATTTTATTTAATCAATGTTCTTTTTATTTTATTTTGCAAATTTCCAATAAAAACAAACACATTTTATTTGTCAAATAATTGTAACCCCCCTTTTTTACCTTTCAAACAAAAGTGAAAAGAATGATTGATGTGTTATTAATTATTTTAACACATCCACACTTGTCATCTTGAACAATTTTATCAATTATACCTGGCATTCAAAACATTTCATTTATCACAGTTTATAATGTTTATGCTGACATCGAAATGCTGACTGACTAATTTAAAGACCACTTTCTGATGTGTTCAAATGAGAGCCTTATCAAATACCGTAACAATTTTTCTATCTTATAAACAAAATATCAAACAGATTTCCTGTAAATATACTTATCTGATAACAAATCTGCTTAATGTGACAATTCTGACCATCAGTCTCTTCACTTGAATTTAAAAGCGCGAAATAACATTTGCTGACGTCACGTGACTTTTGTTCCAAGTCATTCAAATGTTTCACTCTGAGTGAATCATTGCTAACGGTGGGTGATAATAATTGACATTGACGTCGCATGCTTTCAGGTGAAAAAAACATCAACAATCCATAATCATTAATCTGAAATGTTTTCAAGTTCTTAAAATATGCCGTATGATAATAAAGAGAGGCAGATTTATGAACTTAGAGATTGAGTCAGAAATTACGTCTTTGGAAGAAAGAAATAATAGTTTGACAGTGTACCACTGTAAAAAAAAACCGAGAAGAATAAATACTGAAAGTAAGTTCCAGTTTGTAAAAGTCCCAGATTTCATCCGACGGTCTCTATCTTTCTCTGTTACTGTAGCGTAACTGTTCAGGTAGAACTGCTCAGTTTATATATGTTTTCAAATGTAAAGAGAATATATTTTTATTGACATAACGTGACATGAAAGGAGAGAGCCAGAACTTACATCTTGGGAAGAAAGAATTTTAAAATTGTTATTGAACAGTACAAATGTACCACTGAAAAACGAGCATAATTTGAATATTAAAAGTCTCAAAGTAAGTTATAAATTCCCATGGTTAATATGACTTTATGAGGCAGGTGTTACCTGTGAAAGGGGACGAAGTCTGTATCAATTGTTTTTTTCAATTCTAACATATTTTAATGTTAAAAAAAAAGAAAGGAAATACCCCGTTTCCGATGTTGGTCCAGTTGTAAGGGATTTTAGATATGACGTCATTACGTCGTTTTTAATGCAAACAAAGAAACGCTATCATCAGGTTACGTTTATTTTTCATATCAAAAGATAATTAAAATGAAATTGTTATTGTGCTCATTCCTAGACTGATAAATATATTTTTTACTTAAAGTCTCATGACAAACGAGACCAGAAGAAAGAAAGAGATTTCTGTACAAATGCTAACCCGAATAATTCAGTCCCTCTCCGTGATCGACTCTCCCACTCCCATCGTAGAGCAGTGGAATATAACGATTGAATTATTCGGGTTACACAAATGCGGGAAAATAAAAAAGTTAGAAAATAAAAAGTTAACAATTTTGAGTTCATTAGTACATGTAGAATGAAATTATTATTATTTTTTTTTTATTGATTTTTCTACTGTAATTGGGGACTTCATCCCCATATAAACCAGATCTTTTTTAATTCACCATGGTTCAGGTTGCCAAGTTGCCCATGGTCAGATGCAAGACCATGGTCACAAAGGTAGAAAACCATGGTTGTCAAACTCACCATGGTCACAAAGGCAGTAAACCATGGTTGTCAAATTGACCATGGTCAACCACGGTTGATTAGAGCATGGTCAACCATGGTCACAAAAGTGGAAAACCATAGTTGACCATGGTTTTCAGCACATCCAACCATGGTTTGACCATGGTTATCAATGGTTAGCGATGGTAACCATGGTCAACCATGGTTGCATTTTGACAGGGGTAGTTAACTCGGTATATCTGAAATAATCCTTTACCTTTCATGTTGTGTGGCATTAGGTTATAGCATCCAAGAATGTCATAAATGCATCTTTACAGCGTGGAATGCCAAATCCAACGTCAAACAATGGCCGCCATTATGTGTTGACAACGTCGTCTAGTGAACCGTATCACTGAGCACCGAAATCAATACTCAGGCGCTTCCGGTTGTCTTGGATATTCATCTAGTGTCGAGGATAAACTTCACCAACGTCCCTTATTAGGGCTATTAAATATTTGACAGAAGCAGACTTCAAACAGTCTACCTGTGTTGTACATGTACATACGAAAAATTATGAGACACAAAATCATTTTATAATTATATAAATGGTTTTGACAAGCTATAACTTAAGTCGAGGGATGATACCAGGTCACATATGGAAAAAAAGACATGTTATAACCTTTTTGTCACATGCAAATGCTTAAAAAATAAGATAGAATTTAAATATTCCGTATTGGCAAGATCATCCATTTCCCCCTAAATATTACAAAGCTCCCCAACAGTTCAAAGTCCTTGAATGTCATAATGTTAAGGGAATACGATACAGTTACAGGGGAGGTAATGACGTTGCTAACGTAAAATGTTATTTTGGCGACGTCAAACTGTGACATATCGGGAAAAGATGTATTTTTCGACTGATTTTTATCATTCAAACTGATTTAACTTGAAAACGAGTTCATGGACCCCTCTTTTTTAAAATGACATTCGATTTGATTACGTATGAAGATTATTTGTACCAATTTTCATGAAAAAGTCAATAATGAAATTTTTTTAAATTTGATAAATATACAGCTAAAAATTACGTTTTTTTCTACATTCATGAACATTTGATGAATTTGAGTTATTTCTAAAGAAAAGATTTCATAAATTTATAGGATACTTATATAAAACAGAAATTACAAATAATTTAACAAAAAACAGCTTGTGTTTATCTTTTAAAACAAAACAGTTATTCATTTCTGTCGGAAGGAAAAATACGTCCACAAATCCGAATTTTCAGCAAATATCTGAAATTTCGAACTCATTTTACCCAAAAAGTAGCACATGAAGGTATATTTTTTATTACATATTTGATTTAATCAAGTAAAAAATAGCCTATTTGCAAATTTTCATCAAATTTTCATTATGGGATCAAAACTGTATCGTATGCCCTTAATGTCAGATTTTCTTTTTAAGTATTAGTGTTCTTTATTTCTTAAAGTCAAGGAACAGTAAATGGGCTATTGCACAGATTTTGCTAACATTCTGCATGCAACCTTCAATTTGGCTCGTTGAACTATTATAATAATTGAAAATCGAAAAAAATAATACATTTTTATCTCTTTTATTATCTGAAATTTTGCTGATTGAATTCTTTCAAATTAGGTGAACATTTGTTTAGAAAGCACATACTATCGGCGAGAAACCTTCTTAAATTTGTCCTTAAATCATTAAATCTCCCTTATTTCTAATACATATACAATATATGTACATTGTCGGAAAATATAAAATTTATTTGTATGAGCTTTAGAAACAGGACGAAAAGCGAGGCTCGCCGAGCTTTTCTCCTGTTTCGCAGCGAGTACAAATACATTTTATATTTTCCGACAATGTACATATATTGTTTTTATCCTGAAATTTACACCCAACACTTGAAACTTTAGTTGTTAAAATTTAAATCATTGTCTCTAATTTTTCAAAGAAATCGACATAGTTTAAACGCGGACCGCGAAGAGGACACCAAAATGAACTGGTACGCAAAAAGAAATATCCACATTACCGCTTGCTCAACATGGAAGAGGGGTAACAGAAGACTTTATTTGTACAAGTACAAATAAAGCAAAAATTTATTTGTGTACCTGTTATTTGTACAATAGTTGGCTGATTGCAGGATAAATAGATTTTTCTTTGGCATTAAATCTATTTGTTGTTGATACATAAATTTCCGTTTGCACTATATGTAAAACCAAATGTTACATTAATATATATTTCCCTTTTTTTATGCCCCACCTACGATAGTATGTATGTTTTTCGGTCTATGCGTCCATTCGTCCGTTATTTCGTTCGTCCGTCCGTTCGGCCGTCCGTCCGTCTGTCCCGCTTCAGGTTAAAGTTTTTGGTCAAGGTAGTTTTTGATGAAGTTGAAGTCCAATCAACTTGAAACTTAGTACACATATTCCCTATGATATGATCTTTCTAATTTTAATGTCAAATTAGAGTTTTGACCCAATTTCACGGTCCACTGAACATAGAAAATGATAGTGCGAGTGGGGCATCCGTGTACTATGGACACATTCTTTTTTAACTTTTAGCTCACCTGGTCCAAAGGGCCAGGTGAGCCATATTTGTCATCACTTAGTGTTCGCTGTTGTGGTAGAAACTTTTTTAAAGGTCTTGTCCTCTGAAACTACTTAACCAATTTCAGCCAAATTTTGGGTGAATGATCCATATAGTATCTAGTATAAATTGTGTCAACAAAAATGGCTGTCATGTCTTAAAATAGAACATAAGGATAACATGCATAAATTAATCTACAATATATAGAAAAATCTGACGGTAGACATAAATGCTCAGAATGTTATGATCTACCTACTGTATGTTGCACTAAAATTTTCTGATGACTCCTTACTAATAGGGAGTTGTTGCCCTTAAATGACGATTGTTTTTTTGCTAATTCTCATTTATTTGCCTTTGAACTTAAAACTATATATTAGATAGGTAGAAACAAGTAAAAGCAACGAAGATCCGCAATACAAGATTTACAAAAATGTGGAATGACCAAAACCGTTGGATTACCCCTTTTAAAAGGAGTTATTGCCCGTAAATGATTATTTTGTTTACTAATTGTCTCATAAACTATAATAAATAGGTAAGCTGCAAAAATAATTAAAAAACACAAGATCTACAAAAATACTAAACAATCGAAGCAATTGGATAACACTAAACGTATAGCCTTAAATGAAGATTTAAAAAAAATTTTTTTTTTTTTGTTCATCGTATACTTTTTCAAAGATCTATTCCTCTTAACCTACTGAACTAATTTCAACCAAACTTTGAACCTTAAGGTACGAAGTATAAAGTTTGTGTTTTGTGTTTCTGAATTTCAATTTCTTCCTACTTCTTGTTTGCACCAAAATTATCAGGTGATTCATTACAGGAGATATTGCCCTTAAATGACGTTTTTTGGCTAATTCTCATGTACTAGTATTTGGCTTTCAACTTAAAAAAACTATATTGGATAAGAAAAAACCATTGAAAAATCAAAAAAGATCCGCAATAATGCAGAATTGACCAATTTGGATGACCCCTTAAAGGAATAACTGTCTTATATTGTATTATGCTCTTTGTGAGCCCATTTAATGGAAATAAAACATCTTCTTCATTGTTAGTTTGAAGACATAGGCTGTATGTTTTATCAATGCAGGTTGTTTTTTAAGTTCAGCATTCATTGCATTTTGCTTTTAAGACCGAGAAAAATATTTTGGAAAATGGGCAGTTAGCCAGTAGTGTTAACTGTTATACATCATGTCCAGCAAAAGTCTTCCTGTAAAAATAAGAAAATGTGGTACGATTGCCAATGGGACAACTTTCCAACAGAGACTAGAGATGATGTAGAAATTAGAGTTAACGCTATTTTTCTATTTTCCTGCTATATATATTAATAATCTGGTTATACATAGGTAAACTTGTAGAACATTTACCGAATTTGCCAATTACAACTTTTGCATTAGGTTTTTTGGCGTTCAAAGTTTTTGGCCTCGATTATCACTGAAGATAAATTTAGGCCGTGCTAAATATTTTGCCGGCTCTGACAAAATAGCCTCCTTAGTGCTATTTTGCAGCTCTGGCAAAATAGCGATTTATATAATAGAGTTTTACTATTTTGCCGATCTTCATTCAGATTTTCAGTATACTAATTAAGAATAGGAAAAATATAGAAACATACAGTTTGATACAAAATCAGATTAATCTCTAAAAAATAGATTTTCATGCATCGTCTGTACAATATTTTTTTATTAATTTCATATCCACTAGTTTGTCTAGACATGAACTTGAAACTATTTCATGGTGGGTTTCTACGTGTTCCTCCTCTATCGCCAGACCGTCATCAACCGCTGAGTTAGTTTCAATAAAAAAATTAATTTCATTTCATATATAAATCGCTATTTTTCCGGAGCTGGCAAAAAAGCGCCAGGGAGGCTATTTTGCCACAGGGCTCGGCAAAATAGCCACTGCCAATAAATTTATTGTCGAAATGCGCATCTCGTGCCGTTAATTTTATTGCAGAACTTTATCAATAATTTTGCATCTGATCAAATATGTTTGATATTCTGGGTGAATGTGCATATATATATATATATGGTTCTTTACAGATGTTAAAAAGTTGATAGCATGTGCCAACGATGATAATGCAATTTTAGCGACATTCATAAGCTGCATGTATGGAGCGTATCACTATATGTTGCAACATCAGGACATGGACCAGTGCAAGTATGAATATTTAAAAAACATATACCATTTCCATTATCTGATTATAACATTAGGGGGGGGTTATTATTATTCGTGGGATACCAATTTTCGTGGATTTCGAGGGTAATGGCGAACCACGAAATTCATTGTTCAACGATTTCAAACATGTCTATAGGCTTGTAGGCAGTCTTTGGTAAAACCACGAAATCAAATATCCATGAGTTTATATATACAATTTCTTTTTATCCACGAAAATTGGTACCCACGAAAATAAATGACTCCACTGTGAACAAGGGCTATACATTGGTGTATGCCGATGGAATAGGTTAAGGTGGTTGGACCCGCTCTATATATTATCCTTAGAACCAGCAAGATCCTTACTCAGTAGCTTTTTTTTCTAAATGGCGTGAAGTGTGAATACAAAGTACAAAAATGTAACTTCTTGTCTAGTCGTGTTTTATTAGGGAGTAAAATTTAAGGCGCGTATTTTAGATTTTGTTAAGTAATGTATTCAAGCAACAAACCTTTGGTGGGTAAAGTTACTAGTGGAACAGTCATGACCACAGCACTTTTGGGAAGTAAAGTCCGAAAATGATGTCGTTAAACAAGCAACAATCAATCAAGGAGTAAATAATAAAAAAACAAAGGATACGGGGTATCCATCCATGACACAAAATCAATAACCGCACTTAAAAAAAAAGCAACTTTACGTATGATCTTTTAAACTTGACAGTTGTTTTTACTATATATTGAGCCTTATAAAGGTTCAATGTCTGCAACGTTGTGAATACATATGAATTACACAGAAACTATTAAATCTATCTATTGTTAACACAACATTTCCATATAACCACTATCTTTTGAATAAATCAAGTTTACATTATAGAATTATACTACAGACTTTCCAACAAGCGACGCAACATTACAAATAGACCTTATTGATATTCATGCAATCCATGAGAAAAGCCATTGTAATACTGTAGATTTGCAAATCGTTTCAAAACTCAATGCTAGAGTTGTCTCCCTTTGACTAGGAAAACAGAATTCAATGAATTTCTGTCTGACAAACATCCCTGTACATCGTTGAAGAATACCTCTGAACGTTCAACCGTGTCACATTTAAACAATATATACGAGTAAAGAAAGAGAGAGAGAGAGAGATGATTACATAGGGGCAATCCAAACTATAAGTCGAAGGAAAAACACAATATCATGGCATACAAAAAAAAAAAACAACGAAGACACTACACAGAAAACTAAATATTGTGCAATACGAACCTCAAATCCGATGTTGCAATCAAATCAAATCAATCAAAAGCTTTATTTAAATTCGGCATGTCACAAAAAAATAACAGTTCTTTGAGCTTTTATAACTGACAAATACATATAAAACAGGGTATTAAATAATTCTAGAATTATTATTTAATTGGAATTTAATAATATTTATCTTTCAGACACTTTTCATGTCTCATATGCATTTTAGAGTGAAAGAGCAAATGAGTAAGGTTAACATCATATCCATACTGAACATGATCATTGAGTTTTGTTGTTGGGTTTGACATACCTTATGTATATTATGAAGAATGAAGCTTATCTATTACACCATACAGATATGTATACAGCTAAAATTTTTTAAATTGTAACATACATTTTTGCAGAGGTAAGTTAACCTAGGCCTTGTAATGCACATGGTAAGTTGACAGTCTGTGCACAGGGTTAGTTGACTAAGGTCGTGCTGTGCACAGGGTTAGTTGACTTAGGCCCTGCTCTGCACAGGGTTAATAGACTTAGGCCATGCTGTGCACAGGGTTAGTTGACTTAGGCTGTGCTGTGCACAGGGTTAGTTGACTTAGGCCCTGCTGTGCACAGGGTTAGTTGACTTAGGCTGTGCTGTGCACAGGGTAAGTTGACTTAGGCTGTGCTGTGCACAGGGTAAGTTGACTTAGGCCGTGCTGTGCACAGGGCTAATTGATTTAGGCCATGCTGTGCACAGGGTTAGTTGACTTAGGCCGTGCTGTGCACAGGGTTAGTTGACTTAGGCCGTGTTGTGCACAGGGTTGGTAGACTAAGGCCGTACTGAGCACAGGGTTAGTTGATTAAGCCGGTGCTGTGAACAGGGTTAGTTGACTCAGTCTGTGCGGTGCACAGGATTAGTTGAATGATGTGCCATGCTCAGGATTTATTGGTTGAATAAGGGAGTAGATTGATTAAGACTTTGACATGAATGGGCTGTACTTTGAAATGGATTTAATTTTTACTTGTTTACATTGGAACATTTTGAAATAACAAAATGTTTTCAGATTTAGAGGAATAAAATCTAACTTTACTCATAGAAGATTTACCTTTTTTTGTGTTGTTTCAATGCTTTTGAACAATATGCTATGTATTATTCGCTTACTTAAAATTTTGCAACCTTGTCTACTGTCAAAAGCATTATTTTTAAGCACTTTATGAAAATAGAAATAAATCCATTTGTTTCTAGCTTTATTTCATGTTTATGCTATTTTTTTGCATGTATATTTGTTATGTATGCGCTCTCTTTTTTTTAAGAGAACACCTTTTCTTTTTGTAACACCTTCTCTTCTCTTAATTAATATACATTCGGCTGCTGTCTGCTCTATGGTTGGGTTGTTGTCTCTTTGACACATTCCCCATTTCCATTCTCAATTTAATGTATTTATTTTATACAATAATTAAAATCAATTCATTTTATTCATACTTTTCTCGCTATTGAATAACTTTTATGTTTGCTTTCATGCTTATATGCATGTATAGTTGTAGTGTATGCACTTTCTAACCCTTAATCATCCACTGCTGTAATGCTAGCTAGTTTCTAACATAACAGTATGGTGAGTGTGTATCGTGTTTTCAGCATATGTGTCACCAACTAGTCACTTCAAGCACTTTGAAAACTCGGGGTTCTAGCTAGCTCTACAACTTGAAAATAAATTATTATTTATATCAATAAAAGAATGAAATTCAGATTTAAGGTTATTTGGAAATTGATTGCCAAGTTTGGTCAAATCAAATCCACATTTATTGCAGTATCAAATTAATATGATAATGTTCTGTTTTATTACAAAATTGTAGTGAGTTGGAATTATCTACAATTGTTATACAAGATACATATAAGACTTTATAACAACATACTTGAAATAAATCAGATTTGAATTTTATAAGTGCCATGTTCACATTTACATTTGTAATTGCTCTTGACAATTTCAGAGCACAGTTCTTGGTATAAAATCAGTACAAAGAGGTTTTTTTTTTAACAAGAGACAAACTTAAGGCTATCAAATATGGGTCTTCAGTATCAAATTTCTATTCTAATTCTTTCATAAAGACATAAAAACATTAAAATTTGCTGGTTGTTAAAAATTTAAACATGATTTGTAATTTGAAGAAAATATGTAAATTCAAATGATAACAATTAGTGACTGTCTGCAGTAGTAAAAATATATATGACTCATGAGCACAAATGTAGTCTTATCATATCTTTTCCTATGTATGTTTCAAGCTACAAAATGTGCAACATGCTTTTTAAACTTTCTCGCAATTACAGTTTCTGAAAAAAAATTGAAGTGGAAAAATCTTTTATGAAGGGCATCAACTCGTATAAGTAGTGAATTGAATTTACAAAAGTAATGTACTTTAATTTTCACCATTTTGTAGTTTACTTCGGTGAAAATAATTGCAGTTTTTATTTACTTTCTATATGTAAATATATCAAGGAGAATAATCAAGTGTAGAAAAAATTACATAAAATCAAACATTCAGGGGTCATTAACCCTTTCTTATTTGACTGAAAATTTCCAGTAAGTACAAAATAAACACTGTTAAGGTAAATTCATGGTATACCGCCATCTTGGATTGCACAATCACAGTACAAAATCGGTCTAGTTATTTGCCCAAATCTGCTAATATGGAGACAGATTTGCAATTTAATGGTTAGACTGTTTATTCATATAAACAAAACTTGGTGATTTATTGTATTATGCAAAATATTTTAACAAATATCAATAATTTTTGCTCTTAGAATCATTTTTTTTTTAAAATGAACCATTTAAGGGGAGATAACTCTTTTAGTAAAAATTTATACTGGACTAAAAGGGAAATTTTTTATTTTTCCGTGTAGCAAGAAAACAAGTTCGGTGACACCATTTTTTCTTTTCATTTTCTTAAAACATATAATAAAACCTATCTTCTCCCAATTTATTCCAAATTTCTATCTGATAGAATTTTTTTTATGCACACAAATGTGTTTTTTCATGAATAATCTAACCAAATTTAGGCAATTTTCAACGAATCATAGCATGAAAAATAGTACGGTGACCCATACTTTTTATTATATTTTTGAAAAAAGCATAGTAAAATCTTCATTTTGGCAAATTATAAAAAAATTCTGTCCCAAAAAGTTTATACTTATGATCTACCTTAAGCCAGGTTAGTTTTGCTCTAGTTTCTTTAGTTTTTTTAGATAGAAGCCAAAAAATTCATTTTGCCATTTTTTTTCTTTTAATTTGTCTTAATTAAAGATTAGACTTAGCTGAACATCTTTGCTTAGTATACAGTTTATTGATATTTATAATCCTTATTATAAATTACAAATAAATAGTGTTGATACAAGAATCCAAAATGTCATTGTTTGAAAATTTCATGGCAGTGTGTGCCAAGTGCTGGCAAAAGCTTGCCTTAAAGGAAAGGTGAGATAACAATTTTGTCATTTAATTTCTAATAATTAAGTAACAATTCAATAGAAATTTGTAACATTAATTAAGATATCTGTCCTTAAAAGAAAACTTGATGCATTTAGAATCTATAATTAAAAACATTTCTGTTATTTCAAAAAAGCTATCATTATTATCAAGAAGAATTTTGTTCTTTAAAAAGTGTCAAACATTCTCAAAAGTCTGTAAAAGTATCAACTTTTTCCTTTATTTTTAAAGGGAGTTTTTTGGTTTCTGTCAGATTAAAACCATGACACCAAATGTCCTTCATGTCAACAGCCTCACACCAGGCTTCCCTCTTCCCTCTTGACCCTGATACAGGTTTGGTACAAGGGGCCCAGGGTCCAGTTTTTGACCCCTTGTACCAATGTATATGGACAAGTCCATCTTCAAGTTTTGAAACCTTTCCCAGCTGTGGCCACTCCCCTGCATATTTTGCAATATTTGTTAATACAAAATTGCCCACAGCTGGGACTTCATCAACATCCTCCACTTCCTTCTCCTTTTGTTTCCTTTCTTTTTCTTTCTTTCCAAGTATTATCTGAAAAAAAAAAATAACAAAATAAATGTCAACAGTTAAAAAAGATTGAAAAATTATTAGTAAGTACATGTATATAAATACTGGTACCATATAATAAATAAATTTGGTGTATTTACTGTCTTCTGATTGGTTAAAAGTATTACTTTTATTTTCAATGTTGTCATTTTTTATGGCGACACGCCCACTTTTACCGGAACTACTTTTTAAATTTTTCATACGCCAACATGTGTGTACGTTGTTATTGTTAATATAAATAATATAAAAAGTTCTTTGAGTCTTATTTTTGATAGAAATTTATTTATAATGAATGGCAATAATTTATTTTGAATTGATTGAACCATAAAATTAATTTTTGACTCTTCACATTTTACATAATCCGCTTCGCTGATTATTCAATGTGAAGAGTCAAAAATTAATTTTATGGTTCAATATATTCAAAATAAATAATAGCCGTTCATTAATTGTCGTAAATTTTACGGACGCCATCACGAGTTAGTTGGAATAACCGTTTCTAAAATGATATTGGATATGTTCTTTACGTCGTAACTACAATCCCCTTCCCTTTCATGAATTTGACCTACCGAATAAGACTATTTACCGGATTCGTTATAACATAAGCAACACGACGGGTGCCACATTTTTAGCCAGGCGTTGTCAGTTTATTTTCGATTTATGAGTTTGACTGTCCCTCTGGTATCTTTCGGCCCTCCTTTGTCTTAAACATAGAAAAATATTTGTTCAAGGTTTAGAAACAGACAGAATGTGAAGCTGGGCTGTGCTTCTATTCTGTTTAGACCCAAGTACAATTCTTTTTTTATACTGCAACTCTAAAATTGATTGCTAAGGAAATACTTTGGGAAGAAATGACAATTTTACATTTGAAGCAGACAATTTAAAAATTCTTCAAAACTCATAGTTAAAACAGTATAGAAACATATTCTCAACATCATAAACTGTATATGTACAGCCAAAAAATTTTGACTGCTCATAGTAGAAATGATTGCAGTATAAACCCATTTACTTAAAGTGATGTATTTTATGATAAAACTCATTATTTCTTATGCAGCAAAAATACAGCAATCTGATTGGTTAATTACCCAGGTGTAAATAATACCCCAACCTTGTTCATCCTTGGATAAATAAAATTTTGCCAAAAAATTAAAAAAATTAAATTTTGCCAAGGTAAACAAAAAATAATAATGTAAAAACAAAAAAATAATATACAAAAATACCGGTTGAGAGGTACAAATTTCCAGAGCCGTTAGGCGAGGGAAATTTGATTACCTCGAAACCGGTATTTTTGGCAAATACCCCTTGTAAGCATGAAATAATTGTTTAATTCCACCGAATGTTCTTTGTATCCATCTTGACCTCAGAAAGTTTATTGTAATCAGGTATCATATGGAGTTTCTACTTGAATGTATAATTTTTGTATATACTGCAGCTGTGCTATTTGCGCAATCAAATTGCATAATATTTGCCGTAAAATCATGTCTGATCATTTTTGATGTACAGTCACTGACCGTATATATATATCCCTGTTTATGATAAGCTCGTTCTCGGCTGACTACTACACTTTGTTCATCAGTTTGAGTGAAGCGTAATACAAGCGGATTCCAGTTTATGTTTATGACCGGTTGACAATGTGTTTCCGTTGAGTTTTATTTATGACGTCATTAAAAGTACAGGTTCGCGGAATTTTTTATCCTAAATATTTCATTTGGAACCGTATATTAAGAATGACCATAAATTTGTCCTATTAGATTAGAAATAATTCATTGGGTTATTTTAAGACATGGTATTCCCCATCTGCCATGGTATTTGCTAGCAAATACCCCGGCACATGGAATTCCCTAATGACAAATCACCCGGCAGAGAAAAGAAAATCTTAATACATAGAAATTGGTGAAAAATACCATGTCTCTCATCCAATCAAAATACAGCATTATTACATAAGGTGGAATTATAATAAAAATACAAAAAATTTCAGGACAAAAATTTGTAAAAAAAAAATTTTTTAACTTTATTTTCCTGATCATGCAAAAGAACACAAAAATTTCTCCAAAATAAAAAAAAAGCATTTGACAATGCGCAGCAACATCATCATTGAAAAAATGTTTAATACACTGGAAATTTTTCATAAGCATTTTTTTAATTTTACATCCCAGTTTAAAAATGAGTAAAAGGATTCGTTATATTGGTGTAATCAGGGATGTACTGAATTTAACACTGTTGTAGAAAATTCATACAACCATTCGGCTGCTTCTCGAGGTGTATGAATTTTCAACAACGGTGTAAAATTCTGTACACTCCTTATTACACCAAGATAACTAATAGTTTCATATTTGTACAGATATCCTGATGTTCTGTTGAGAAACATCTGTATATGGTGTTCTTGCTACATACCAAATTTTATGAAATTCTGTTGGGTAGTTTTAGAGGAGTTGTGATTACAAGCTGATACATGATAATTTTCGATAAATTTCTAAGTCCAAAGGTGCATAACTCCCATTAAAATTAGAGAATAAAAATTTCCTGATAACATATGGTGCTTTTGCTACAAACAAAATTTTATGAAATTCTGTTGGATAGTTTTAGAGGAGTTGAGTTTACCAGCTGATACATGATGATTTATGGTATATTTCTAAGTTAAAAGGAGCATAACTCCCTTAAAATTTGAGGAATCGAAATTTCCTGATAATATGCACAACTACATATGGTGTTCTTGGTACATACCAAGAAAACAAGCTGATATCTTATTATGTTACGGACAAACAGATGGACGAACAGACAGACGGACGGAGTGACCCAACTCCAAGACCTGCTTCTGCCTTTGATGAAGCAGGTAAAAGTTATTAAATTTTAAAAAAATAATTGAATCTTTGATTAAAGCAATTTACCAGAGGCACACTATCTTCATCAGAAAAACCATCAATATGGACAGTACATTGGTTGCTTGGTGGCTCAACTATCATATTCTCTTCATTTCTAAAATGAGCAATTTATTTTGAACAATATTATTTTCTTTAATAAATATATATACTAAGGTGGTATGGGTGTCTAAATTAAAAATGATAGAATTTGTTCATACTTACGAACAAAACGTAGTATATATTGATACATGATCAAAAATATAATGAAAATGATAGGTCACTGTGCATTTACTCAAGCTATACAGGTTGTGACAAAATGACACATATTGTATGGATTATACAGAAAAAAACATCATATGGGGGTTAAAAGATAAAATAAATGATAGAATTGTAAAATAAAATACAATGATAGAATTGTAAAATAAAAAACGAGAAGATAGCTTTTACAATATGCTTTGAGAATATCAAAAGAAATAATAGGGTCACCTCTGAAATTCTTGTTATCAGTTCTCCCCTAAAGGCACTATTTATCTTTTAATAGCTCAACTGGTTCTTTTATCTTAATCTGTAAAGCAATTACAAACTATGAACCTACCTCTGGTTTTCTTTTGCCATTACAATTTCATCTAATGGCCATGTTGATTGTGGGTGAATTTCCTGATTAGGAATGGCTGTCACTAAAATAAAGATAAAGTGGAAATGTACTGGTTAAGAGCTATCACAGCTGCAATTTTTTGAAAAATTGATTTCCATCATTTTTATACTGAGTATTGCATGTTTATGCTAAAAAAAGTTGGGTTTTTTATACGCTCGTTTACGGGACGTATTATGGTATACCGTTGTCCGTCTGTCCGTCCGTCCGTCTGTCCGTCCGTCGTCAACATGTCGGACATTAACTCAAAAATGCTTTGACCAATTTGCATAAAACTTTGGTGAATTGTTAATACCTATTGACGTGAGCTCCCTTTCGTTTTTTATAAAATTTAGATTTTACAGTTCTGAGTTATGGGATTTTATTCATTAAAAAAAGGGGGATTTTCCAGTTTTCTGACAATGAGTTAAGAATGCTTTCACCAACATGCAAGAAATTGTGGTGAATTGTTTTTATCTATTGACATGAGCTCCCTTTCGATTTTTATAAATTTTAGATTATATGTTTCCAAGTTACAGGGTTTTATTCATAAAAAAAGGGGGGATTTTCCAGTTTTCGGACAAAAACTCAAAAATGCTTTCAGCAATTCTTATGAAACTTTGGTGAATTGTTTGTATGTATTGATGTAAGCTCCCTTTATAATTTTATAAATTTTACATTTTACATTTCTGAGTTATGGGGTTTTATTCATTAAAAAAAGGGGTGATTTTCCAGTTTTCGGACAATAACTCAAAAATGCTGTCACCAATTCTCATGAAACTTTGGTGAATTGTTTATATCTATTGATGTAAGCTCCCTTTTTATTTTCTTAAAATTCTTATTAAAATTGAGAATTAATTGAACTTTATTTGTTTATAGTCTGACAACAGATTTACTAAGTATTGCACAACAGCAAGAAATCTTTAATTGAACATAAATTCAATTCATATAACAAATTTCAAGTTCTTTGAATACATTTATTCAGAAACCTATAATATGTCAAATATTTAATTACAATCCAAATTCAGACCTGAATCAAGCTTGAATATTGTGTCCATTTTTGCCCCAACTGTTCAGGGTTGGACCTCTGCTGGCGTATCTAGCTGCGCTCAGCGAAGCAGTTTATTTTCTCATGCTGTGCTGTTATTCAGTACTATCCCAGGTATAATGAGCACTCCCAATCTGACTGGTTGTTTTTCTTGTTTTAAACGTATTGATTTACATTTTGTCATGTTGGGCCTTTTACAGCTTACTTTAAAACATATCGGTTTTGCTTATTGTTAAAGGCTACACCATTATCTATAGTGGCTTAAATCTACATTATTTGGTCTGTGTTAGATAGCTGTCTCATTGGCTATCCTATCACATTTTCATATTTCTATATTGCACACAAGTTAATAATTTTTCTTTTTATCCTATTGCATATTTTTAATAATCCCGCCAAGGTGTGAATATTAAGGAATGAAGTTGCAGTCCAGTCTTTTATGACTGTCTGCATCAATTTATCAATGAGGAGTTAGACCCAATACATATATATCCCTAATACTGTTTACACGTTATCATCATCATGATTTTGACCCTGACATTGTTGACAGCTTCAGTTCTGAGCAGAAACAAAATAATGCTTACCAATGTCTGTGAAAAAAGATGTCCACCAGCCATCTTTGTTACAACCATATTGTTTGTTCACTTTATTAATATCTGCTTTCAGACGATCAACATCGATTTGGTCGTCATTGGTGGGCATAAAGGATGGACATGTGTTTGGAATAGCCTTCAGTATATTTTTTTCAGAACCATTACACTCAAGCCAAACCTAAGTAATTAACAGTTGATAAATCAAACAATTGCAAAATTTAAATTAAAAAATTCTTATACTTGCAAGTGTGGTATATCACTGTCAAATTGCATCAATTATATTATTATTTGAAAAAAGCTACTGACTGTAAAAACTCTTTGCTAAGACAAAATGTTTCCATGAGTTTTATTTATAACATAAATAATGAAAACATGTTTGTGTAATTGTACATTATCCGCTTCAAATTCAATTTTTTTTTTCTGTTTATACCAAAATTTATTTTAAAGAAATGTTTATGATTTGGAAAGAAACAGCATATAAGATCTTTGCACTGTTGTTTTCTTTTACTTATTCATTATCAGAGGCAAGTTAGAGGGGGGCCCCTTTCCTGGAAAAAAATTGGTTGATTATATAGGGAATCACTGAAGCATGACCGAAGCTGGCCCCCTCTTAGGCAGTCAGCGGGCCCCCACTTATGAAAATTTCTGGATCCGCCACTGATTGTTTCAATTTGAAGAAGCAAGTTATCAGATGCAGCCAACATTATACAATTGCATTACTTACTAGAATAATGGAGATTCTGTTTAATTTAAGAATCCAATAAAGTACTTATATGCCATAGCTTTATACTGGTCATATTATGGACAATTTTTCTTGATCTAGTATTCATTAGGATTTTAGGACCTGTTCAAGACCTCCTATGGGTAAGAGATTTCTTCATGTTGAAGACCCATTGGTGGCCTTGAGTTGTTTTATACATTATGGTCCAGTGGTTGTATCTTTGACATATTCCCCTTTTCCATTCATATCATGGGAAAACCTTAATACAGTCATACATCACTTACTTTATCATTTGCCCATTTCTTGTACAAGAATTTTGATTTTCCATCATCTCCAAGGACAAATTTAAAAGTGTGTGGTTGGGAATGGCCACTGATTGGATTGATAAAATCCTGAAATAGAAGAAAAAAGTGTTAAATATTATAGTGTTATTAACTGGCTGTTTCTGTATTGGCCCTGTTATAGATTCGAGGTTAGCTGTATTGGACCTGAGACTTGTGCATTACAAAATCACAGAATTCCGTTACAAGTCGTTACAAAACACTGAACATCATTTAAACTTCTTTTTTAAGATATTAAGTTAAAAAAAAAAGTTGCCACTTATTTAACCGACATTTTGATTCAATCGATGTTCCATTCGTCTGTTTATAATGCATGGCTGTGATTTCGTAATGCATGGCTGTAGCTAATTCTCCTTTCATAATGACCAGTTGTCGAAATTTTCCTTTTATAAAACATGGGCATTTCTATACATAATGTAGTAAGTTGGTTAATAATTATCAATAATAGGCTATTTTACAAGGTAAGTATGTTGGCAGTATTGACTATATATCTCCTTTCATTGCTTCCTAAGTTATATGACTAGGACAGACTTGCTACATGTCCCTTCCTATTTTTTTTTTCAATTTTATCTTTAGTGGTCTGACATAATTCCAGTTATAACTAAGTGTGTGCAATAACATGTATATTGACAACTGCTGAAGAAGGCCTTTCTCAAAGGGCAATAAGTATCATGGCACTTCTCAGTATGTAAACAAACAAATTATAAGATATAAATAAATAAAAGAAAGAAAGGGAATTGTAGCAAGTCCTTTTAAAAAGAACTACACTGACATCATTATTCATTGTGTGTCTTGCTATGCCCCATGGTTGCCTAAATTTTTGTATTGCTTTTGCAAGACGGCTTAACCCTTTGAGTCCCAGGACACAATGATATGTCCATTACATATACATGTAGTTATTATTTTAATTGACTTAAGCTTGGTAATAATACGACTGAATCCATACACACGTACAATGTGTATATATATTATACTGATATAATTATGATAATTGTGATAAGATAAAACATGCATTTTATATAAGAAGATCTCATAGATTTAAACTATTTTTTTCTGTAGGTTACTGATGTGTAAACTAAGTCGGTTAACTCACAAACTGAATAAAAGTCAAAAGGACTTTCATCTTAAGTTTGTGAGTATGCGATCCAGTTTACAAATTAAATATGATATGCTTGAATGAAGTTGGATTTTAATTGAGGGTCTGATCCATTAATTTTGTTTTTGAGTAGCAAACTGTCACAATGACTTCTGTACCTTAATCCAATTTGTAACGTCATAAACATCATTGGTTTCGATGGCGTGGGGTTTTGGTTGGAAGCAGTTTTCAAACGCATGCATTAGTCTTGGTAGTGTAAAAGCTGCATGTTTGTTCAACCATACTGAAAATCTGAAAAAAATGTTCGTTAAAATTATAAAGAACATAAAACTATTCAATACTGGTATGTATGAAATAAATGAAGATCGGTATTGTAAGAAAGCTGTTGTATTATAAAATGATGAATTCCATTTAATTGTATAATTACATGAAAGAATTAACTCATCCAAAGTTAACACAAGAGTGCAAACGCTGAACTGTCTCACCTTTTTTAGCTCACCTGGCCCGAAGGGCCAAGTGAGCTTTTCTCATCACTTGGCGTCCGTCGTCCGTCGTCCGGCGTCGTCCGGCGTCGTCCGTCGTCGTCCGTCGTCGGCGTAAACTTTTTACATTTTGAACTTCTTCTAGAGAACCACTGAATGGAATGAAACCAAACATGGCATGAATGTTCCTTATGAGGTGCTGACCAAGTGTTGTTACTTTGTAGCCGATCCATCATCCAAGATGGCCGCCAGCGGGGGACTTAGTTTAACAAAGGACCCTATGGGAAATGCATACAAATGACTTCTTTTAGAGAACCACTGAATGGAATGAAACCAAACATGGCATGAATGTTTCTTATGAGGTGCTGACCGAGTGTTGTTACTTTGAAGCCGATCCATAATCCAAGATGGCAGCCAGCGGGGGACTTAGTTTAACATAGGACCCTATGGGAAATGCATACAAATGTCTTCTTTTAGAGAACCACTGAATGGAATGAAACAAAACATAGCATGAATGTTCATTAGGAGGTGCTGACCAAGTGTTGTTACTTTGTAGTTGATCCATCATCCAAGATGGCCGCCAGCGGGGGACTTAGTTTAACATAGGACCCTATGGGAAATGCATACAAATGACTTCTTTTAGAGAACCACTGAATGGAATGAAACAAAACATAGCATGAATGTTCCTTACAAGGTGCTGACCAAGTGTTGTTACTTTGTAGCCGTTCCATCATCCAAAATGGCCGCCAGCGAGGGACATAGTTTAACATAGGACCCTATGGGAAAGGCATACAAATGACTTCTTTTAGAGAACCACTGAATGGAATGAAACAAAACATAGCATGAATGTTCATTAGGAGGTGCTGACCAAGTGTTGTTACTTTGTAGCCGATCCATCATCCAAGATGGCCGCCAGCGGGGGACTTAGTTTAACATAGGACCCTATGGGAAATGCATACAAATGACTTCTTTTAGAGAACCACTGAATGGAATGAAACAAAACATAGCATGAATGTTCCTTACAAGGTGCTGACCAAGTGTTGTTACTTTGTAGCCGTTCCATCATCCAAAATGGCCGCCAGTGAGGGACTTAGTTTAACATAGGACCCTATGAGAAATACATACAAATGTCTTCTTTTAGAGAACCACTGAATGGAATGAAACCTAACATGGCAAGAATGTTCCTTATGAGGTGCTGACCGAGTGTTGTTACTTTGAAGCCGATCCATAATCCAAGATGGCCGCCAGCGGGGGACTTAGTTTAACATGGGACCCTATGGGAAATACATACAAACGTCTTCTTTTAGAGAACCACTGAATGGAATGAAACCAAACATGGCAAGAATGTTCCTTATGAGGTGCTGACCAAGTGTTGTTACTTTGAAGCCGATCCATCAACCAAGATGGCAGCCAGCGGGGGACTTAGTTTAACATAGGATCCTATGGGAAATACATACAAATGTTTTCTTTTAGAGAACCACTGAATGGAATGAAACCAAACATGGCATGAATGTTTCTTATGAGGTGCTGACCAAGTGTTGTTACTATGAAGCCGATCCATAATCTAAGATGGCCGCCAGCGGAGGACTTAGTTTAACATAGGACCCTATGAGAAATACGTACAAATGTTTTCTTTTAGAGAACCATTGAATGGAATGAAACCAAACATGTCATGCATGTTCCTTTCGAGGTGCTGACCAAGTGTTGTTACTTTGAAGCTGATCCTTCATCCATGATGGCCGCCAATAGGGGGACTTCCTTTAACATAAGACCCTATGGGAAATACATACAAATGCTTCTTCTAGAGGTGCACTGAATGGAATGAAACCAAAACATGGCATAAATGTTTCTTATGAGGTGCTGATTAAGTGTTGCTACTTTGTTGCTGATTTACTGTTCAAGATGGCCACCAGGATTTTTTATTAAATTACAGGACCAATATTAAACCAAATTTGGCCTCACTCATTATTAGGGTATCTGTTATGATTTTAATCTATTTTTACATGATTTCCAAAACCAAAGTAGAATCAGGTGAGCGACACAGGCTCTTGAGAGCCTCTAGTTACTAATCATTGATATTATGTTGATAGTCCTAAATATAAAGCTACAACTGTCACATAGACTTAACCAAGAAAACTAAACATAGACCAATGAACCATGAAAATGAAGACAATGTCAGATGAAACATGCCAGGCAGGCATGTACAGCTAACAATTCTTCCATACAACAAATATAGTTGACCTATTGCTTATAGTTTAAGAAAACAGACCAAAAAACAAAAACTTAACACTGAGCAATGGACCGTGAAAATGAGGTCAAGGTCAAATAAAGCCTGTGCGACTGACATATAGATCATAAATTATTTCCATACACCAAATATAGTAGACCTATTGCATACAGTATAAGAAAAACAGACCATAACACAAAAACTTAACTGTAACCACTGAACCATCAAAATGAGGTCAAGGTCAGATGACACCTTACAGTCCTTCCATGCACTGAATATACTAGACCTACTGCTTATAATAACTGAGATATGGACTTGACCACCAAAACTTAACCTTGTTCATTGATTCATGAAATGAGGTCGAGGTCAAGTGAGATCTATTTGACCGGCATGAGGATCTTGCAAGGTATGCACATACCACATATAGTTATCCTATTACTTATTATAAGAGAGAATTTAACATTACAAAAAAAACTTTACTTTTTTTTCAAATAGTGACTTAACTATGAAAATGAGATCAAGGACATTGGACATGTGACTGACGAAAACTTTGTAACATGCATATGAGGCATCTATATACAAAGTATGAAGCATCCAGGTCTTCCACCTTCTAAAATTTAAAGATTTTAAGAAGTTAGCTAGTGTCATAGCCGCAGCAAAATCTCTTTCCATATGTCGAGCTTTCTGCGACAAAAGTTGCAGGCTCGACAATAGGCAGTTGCATTTCAATTTTTTTTTTAGTATGCAATAAAAAGCATTATCCAAGGAGTTACTGTTCTAATACCTTAATATTGAGTAATAAAATGCTTCGCTGGGGCGCAGCTTGATACGACCGCAGAGGTCGAACCCTGAACAGTTGGGGCAAGTATGGACACAACATTCAAGCTTGATACAGCTCTGAATTTGAATTGTTATTAAATATTTGACACAGCATAGGTTTCTGACACATAAAGAATGTGGTCTAAGAACTTGAATTTTTTTAATTTACCTATTATGGTCCAATGTCCAAAATCAAAATACATGGTTAGATTCATCATATCAAAGAACCCCATATGTTCAATTTTTGTTAAAATCAAACAAAGTTTAATTTTGGACCCCAACTTGGACAAACTTGAAAACTGGGCCTAAAAATCAAAAATCTAAACACGTTTAGATTCAGCATATCAAAGAACCCCAAGAGTTCAATTTTTGCTAAAATCAAACTAAGTTTAATTTGGGACCCTTTGGACCTTAATGTAGACCAATTTAAAAAACGGGACTTAAAATTAAAAATCTAAATACACGGTTAGATTTGGAATATCAAAGAACCCCAATAATTCAATTTTTGATGAAATCAAACAAAGTTTAATTTTGGACCCTTTTGACCTCAATATGAACCAATTTGATAGCGGGGCCCACAAATAAAAAATCTAAATTCATGGTTAGATTCAGCATATCAAAAAACCCCATATATTCAATTTTTGTTGAAATCAAAAAAAGTTTAATTTTGGACCCCAACTTGGACCAACTTGAAAACTGGGCCCATTATCAAAAATCTAAACACATGTTTAGATTCAGCATATCAAAGAACCCCAAAAATTCAATTTTTGTTAAAATCAAACTAAGTTTAATTTTGGACCCTTTGGACCTCAATGAAGACCAATTTAAAAAACGGGACCCAAATTAAAAATCTAAAACACGGTTAGATTTGGCATATCAAAGAACCCCAATAATTAAATTTTTGATGAAATCAAACAAAGTTTAATTTTGGACCCCAATTTGGACCAACTTAAAAACTTGGCCCATAATCAAAAATCTAAATACATGTTTAGATTCAGCATATCAAAGAACCCCATATATTCAATTTTTGTTGAAATCAAACAAAGTTTAAATACTGGACCCTATCTTGGACAAACTTGAAAACTGGGCCCATAATCAAAAATCTAAACACATGTTTAGATTCAGCATATCAAAGAACCCCAAGAATTCAATTTTTGTTAAAATCAAACTAAGTTTAATTTTGGACCCTTTGGACCTTAATGCAGACCAATTTAAAAAACAGGACCCAAAATTAAAAATCTAAATACACGGTTAGATTTGGAATATCGAAGAACCCCAATAATTCAATTTTAGATGAAATCAAACAAAGTTTAATTTTGGACCCTTTTGACCTCAATATGAACCAATTTGATAACGGGGTCCACAAATAAAAAATCTAAATACATGGTTAGATTCAGCATATCAAAGAACCCCATATATTCAATTTTTGTTGAAATCAAACAAAGTTTAATTTTGGACCCCAATTTGGACCAACTTGAAAACTGGGCCAAAAATCAAAAATCTAAATACATGTTTAGATTCAGCATATCAAAGAACCTCATATATTCAATTTTTGCTAAAATCAAACAAAGTTTAATTTTGGACCCTTTGGACCTTAATGTAGACCAATTTGAAAACTGGACCCAAAATTAAAAATCTAAATACACTGTTAGATTCGGCATAACAAATAAATAAATGTGATCAAAGATTTTACAAATCTAATGCGCCATACTGGGCAATTAAAGATTACTTCCTGAAATTTTTCAATATTTGAAATTTGAAAAAAAAATAATATTTGAAGAATAATTCTTTTTAATTTCTGAAATCTGAAATGCGAAAAAATTGACCCCCCACAATTTCTTTTTATCCCCCCCCCCCCCCTTTTTCCCCCCAAAAAATTCTTTCCCTCAAGATATGGTCATAATCTCAATTCAAATTTCCAATGGAGTTGGCAACCATAATTACCCATTTAAATTTACCATAGTGCTAACTTAATCTATTTTATAATAGAATTAAAAATATAGTGTCAAATCTTTCATATGGATTTTTTTGTAAAAAAAAAAAGATGCAACATTTGCAGATATTTTTACTGGTCTTCCTTTATAAATATGCATTTCTTTAAACATAATTTAAAAGCAGTGTAAGGGAAGTAACCAAAACGTTGTATTTGGATTACCTCCCTTACACTGTTTTAAATTATCTTTATTGTTCATTAACCATTACTTTATACATAATTTAAAAGCAGTGTAAGGGAGATAATTTCAATGATGTATTTGATTTATCTCCCTTACACTGCTTTAAATTTTGTTTTGTACTAAAGTATTTGTCCATTAACCAGGACAACCTTGTTTTTCCCCCTTTTTTGCCCCTAATTCCTACACGGTTTGAACCATAACCCCCCAAAGCAAATCCTAACCATCCCTTTGTGGTATGGAAACTTGTAGTATAATTTCAGAGAGATCCATACACCGTTCCACAGTTATTGTCTGGAAACTAGAAAATGCTTATTTTTGGCCCCTTTTTGGCCCCTAATTCCTTAACTGTTGGTACAATAACCCCCAAAATCAATCCCAACCTTCCTTTTGTGGTATTTAACCTTATGGTCAAATTTCAAAAAGATCCATTCACTTAAACTAAAGTTAGAGTGCGAAAACCAATGTGTCTTCGGACGACGACGACGCCAACGTCATACCAATATACGACCACAAAATTTTTTTGCGGTCGTATAAAAAGCTGATTGAACCCATGACATAATGAACTAAATGCAAAGATTTTGTCAATATCTTAATAGAGGGAATTATATTTACCTTGAAAAAACCTGATCGATGTCTTCGTGAGTGTGGCCAACCATCAAAAATGAAACCTTGATTTTCTTGAACACTTTCAGTTCAACCAAGAGGCTGAGAAATCCAAATACAAATCTAGAACACAAAAAGTTATGATTTACAAATAATCATATACTATTTAAATTGTGTTTAACAGTTAATATTTTTTCAAGATTTAATATCTTGATATGAACAAGTCCTATTTCTATTGATATCTATAAAATATTTTTAAATCATCTTCATTAATTTCACCTTTAAATAAAAGTTACCAAGGTTTACCAATGGTTAGTTACAATTACTAAAATTCAATTTGTTTCAAGCAGTCATGAATTATTGTATGATGTTCAGTTTGTGTCTGTCATGTTTTAAGGAGTTAAGCATTTAATGGTTGTATGACATTTTCTGCATCACACATGAGAACAAAAATTGATTGTTGCATCCAAGTGTGAATGTTCTTTTACTTATTTTAAATACATACAGTATCACCATACCTGTTTTTATTTTCCCTGGCACAGTTGTCCATTTGAAGGTAAAGAACATCAGGAAGACTGTCTTTAGTCATTAGGAGAATACTTAGAATTACATGGATTGTCAAATTGGAGGAGTGTGCATACTGGTACCAATCAAAAAATCCATATAATCCTACGCCATGCACCAGTGCTCCGACCAAATGAGTTCTCAATTTCCACATTCCTGCGGTAAGGGAAGACAGGTATAAAAAATGAGGTATCTCAGTCTTTGATTGGTCCATGCCATCTATAATCATTGACATATATTTGTCTGGGTGTTGTCTGGGTTTATGGGCATGTTTGTAGTATTTCCTCCTTTCAAGGCTAATAAAAAAAATTGATAACATCATTATATCTATCTAAGTGTGTCTTGCATAAATCATGAACATTTGCACTTACAAACTCAAATTGGTAAAAGTTAAAATGAAAATAGATTAAACAGAAGTAATCCTCACTGCTATACTCTAAAAAATATTTCAAAACAAGAATGTGTCCCCAGTACACTGATGCCCCACACGCACTATAATTTTCTATGTTCACTGGACCGTGAAATTGGGGTAAAAACTGTAATTTGGCATTAGAAAAGAAAGATCATATCATAGGGAACATGTGTACTAAGTTTCAAGTCGATTGGACTTCAACCTCATTAAAAACTACCTCGACCAAAAACTAACCTGAAGCGGGACAGACGGACGAACGAACGGACGCACAGACCAGAAAACATAATACCCCTCTACTATCCTAGGTGGGGCATAAAAAGAAATTTATTTCTGTCCTCAGTCAGGACCTGTAATGGAACGAAAATTTAAATTCAAAGAGGGGGAAAAGGAATTTTGAATCCAGATTTCCCCATACCTTTTAGTGTTAAATTTTGAAAAGAATAAGTTGATTGGTAGCTTAAAAACTAAAAAATCTGAATAAGACAAAAAATCATAATCCCCCTTGAAGTTAAATGGTTGCTGACAAATTAACTGGATGTCGCTTGCTGCTGTATTTCATAAGTGTTTTGTATATAAAATTGTAATCATGCTGTTTCTACAATTTGATATCCTTAAAATTGCAACCGCCATCTTTTAATTAATAGTATCTGATTACTTGATATAAGAAAGCATCAAGTTTGAAATACTTGAAATTATTAATAAAACTCCTTGAAAAATATTCTAATGCAATTTTTATGTAACAATTTTTTTCATTGGTTAAAGGTTACCATCAAATCCACAGTTGACCAGGCGTAACTAAGGAGGGAACCACAATTTTAAATTGATTGGATCAACAAATGTTCGATTACTACAATATTATCAAAAATAAAACAACACCTACCTCGATTTTCGCCATTTTAATGTGATTTTATCCAAATTTGAAACGTAGCAGTAATGTAAGTTTTCACATTTAGTCATGACATCTTTGCGCCAAAATTATTCATGAAGTTTCGCAGATTTTTTTTATTTGACAAATTTATACATTTTATCAAGCTCTAATGTATTATTTCTTTTTGTAATGCATTATAGAATCAGAATAACAGTACTGTAGTTGAAGAGTAGCCACCGTCAATTTTGGTTTGACGGTTGCAAATTTCCATTTTACTTATTTACAGTCTCGCTATGCGTCAACAGTAAAAGTGCATTTGCAACTGTCAAATCGACAATTGACAGATGCAAATTTTCAACTACAGTATAGTTATTCCATAAATACCATAATTTGGCATTTAAAACAATTTCTTACCTTTGCTTTAATAAATGCTGTTCTCTGGTTCTTTTTAATTCCATTCTGGCATTTTGGTCCTTAGTTTCAACCATCTTGGTTTTTATCTGTGTGCATATGTTGCATTTTGATAGCCTTGAGTTCTGTAAAAATATATTAAGAACATTGGTTTCTCCCGAGTTGACCACTTATATAGCTAAATTGTTAAATTTTTTTTAAGTGTACGTATTATTGTTGTTGGCTTCTGCATTTTAGGTATTCAAAAAAAGAAGACCTTTTGATATTCTTACGATTAAGACTGATTATTAAATTTTTTCATCTTTTAATCTTGCGTGTGGATTTTGTTTCGCAACATGACACTTAGATATTTGACATATGATGTCGAACTGTTACTTTGATTCTGATAGTCTCACCCTTCCTAAACAAACTCTTTTTTATTATAAGAGTTATCTCTCCAAGATCAATTTTTCTTTTGAGCGCTTCTCCTTCATAATCATAATATAAAATGACAAAATTTGAGATTGGAAATGTTTTTTGCCAAAAATATAGGTTCAAAATTTACATACCGTACTAATAAAAAATATTGAATAAAATTAACATGTGGAGTTAAATTGGTAGAAATAAATGCATTTTCTAACTGATTTCTCAACTTCAATATATATTGAAACATGAAGTCTTTTTAAAAACTTATTAGTTAACTATACTATATATTTTGTATAATGATGCTTCATTTTTTTCAATACACTATTTTATCTTTTATTACAAGCATATTGCCTAATTTTGAATTAAAGTTTCTTACTGCAGGAATGCTAACATAGCTAACACAATTTCTCCACATCCAGTAGAAATGGGAAAGGGATATTGTCTGCTCTGCATGTTCCTCCATATCATCCTTGTACATTTCATACAGAGATGCTTTTGTTAGACAAGGAGGCAGGTGCAGTTTGGTCTTGTCGGGTTGCTTCTCTGCAAATTTATTTGCATAATCATGCAGCCAGATGGTTGCTGTCTGAGTTGCCGACATCTGCTGATCTTTTCTTTTGCCTTGCCGCCCAATAACCTTTTCACCAACTATGTAAACATAAATTTGAGAAACAGTATAATATTTTGTCATTTCAGTTCGTCTAACTCATGTTAATTATAGCTTATAATATAAAGATATGGGTTTTGCTCATTTTGAAGACTGTTACATGAAAAGTATACTTCTACTAGGTGGGGGGAAGGGGGGGGGGGGGGGGGGGGGGGGGGGGGGGGGGTTAACAACCTTGACAACCTCATAAAGTCAGCTCTGATTAACACCTTTTGCATATTAAATACTTAATTTTACATGATAAGGTATTCAATTACTTTAAATCATACCAATTCAATTTGCACAACAATTATATTATTATGAACTACTATCTTTCAGTTGAAACAGAGACCTTCAAAGGAGTCAAGCGAATTACCCATATAAACAGCCCTGTGTAGGTGTATTTTGATCTATTTTATAAAACTTCAATTTTTTTGTATAATTCATTATGTATGTATTGTTTTTGCAATCTGTTTTTACAGAATTATTTCAATCGTTTTATCAATATTTATTCTTATTAAACAGGCTCTTCTTTTTGGAGAACTTAACTATTGAAAAATATGTGTCCTTATTAGTTATTTATTAATACGATTAATGTTAATCTTATAAACTTACGCTTGTATCTTTTTCTTATTGTGTAATAAGTAGACAGTGGCATTCCAATTACCGTCAAAAATGCAGTAACACAAACTGACCATTCCCCAACCAAAAAACAGAATTCACCATTACCTCTGAAAAAGAATATAAAAAACTATAATAATTTATGTGAAATTGACTGTATGATAAACATATCTGACATCATTCACCTCATTTTCACTATTAAATCATCCTGTAATTTTTTTGTCTATTGGAATTTATGCCAGTGATATGCTTTTCCTGGTTTATGTATCTGCTTGCTGGTAAAATATTATTTTGGGTGTCTAACAGGGGTCCATTTCACAAAAAATCTTACTACTAAAGTTGATGGTAATTAATGTACAATCCAGTATACATACGATCAATCTTAGTCATAAGTTTTTTATTAAAGTGACTCCTGTGCTATTCATCGATGCCGATGGAGAGTTGTCTCATTGACAATCTGACATACAAAACATTGGTGGTAGCCCCTATATTATTCCTCATTTTTATGCCAAGCATTATAGGCAGTTGTAAAATGTTGACAAATAAAGAACATTGCTATGTTTAAATGAACATAGAGCATTATATAAGAATTATCCATATATAATGTTCAGTTTCTGTGTCATACCTGCTTATATGATGTTTTTAATTGATTTTTACCTTGGATGTGTCCATAACCAATTTAGCACCCACTGGCTCAAGTCATGTTTTGACATCCCTGCTAGGTGGTCCCTGAGAGTGTTGATGGCTTCAGTTGGTACTGATGTAAGGCATAAACTTACACAGCAGAAAATAGCAGCAATTGAGTTTATATCTACTTTATGTTGTACTGAAATTACAAAATATAGAAAAAAAATCAATATCAGATATTGATAACAGGATGTTGTTTTGATTAATTGAATGACTTGAAAGTTTAATCAAAAGAAATATTTTACCAACTATTCATTATTACTAAAAAATCCCCAAAACTTTCATTAGGTTGGTGCTATTAAAAATAAAAGAACAGAGTTCCAATGTCTTCTACATTGCATAAAGGAGTAGGTCCAGTAAGACCCCTTTTTGGCCCTAAAATATAGCAGTTTTACAATATTGTTAACTTGTTAACTTCTAGTTATTTATTGGAAAGTAGCATGCTTCTACTACATAAATATGGGCAGTTTTTGACAATACAATAGATATAGGAAGATGTGGTATGAGTGCCAATGAGACAACTCTCCATCCAAATAACAATTTATAAAAGTAAACCATTATAGGTCAATGTACGGCCTTCAACACGGAGCCTTGGCTCACACCGAACAAGAACCTATAAAGGGCCCCAAAATTACTAGTGTAAAACCATTCAAACGGGAAAACCAACGGTCTAATCTATACAAAAAACCGAGAAACGAGAAACACATATAAATTACATAAACAAACGACAACTACTGTACATCAGATTCCTGACTTAGGACAGGTGCAAACATTTGCACATATATTGGGTACCAGCATCATTAACTGAAATCATCACAATTTTAGCATTTCAGTTAAATTTTAGACAGTTTCTGTTTGAAATGAAAGTGGCGGCATTTGTGTTCATACTTAACATTGAAATATAAGTTGTATTTGAGGATAATACATAACATATATGTAATGGTTGAGGATGAACACGGATGCGACCACTTTCATTTTTTGACAAAAACCATCTAAAAAGTGACATTTTTTGGTATATTCGATAGATTTTTCATATTTAAGCTTACATCGGAGTGTTTTTTATGACTGAATCAGTTAAAATCTTTCACATAAACTAATTCAATCAACTGAAATAGACACTAAAGTGTTTAAAAAGTGTCCCAAAATCTTTCGTCAGATGAACCTGAAATTTGAGGCCAAAATCGGCTCTTACCGGACCTACTCCTTTCATCATGTTAAAGTTAATACATTGTACAGTGAAAGCGCATAACTCAAATAAATTTAAAATATGATATGAAGTTTTATAAACTCTTTGTAGAATTGTACATGTGAGATCGCTAACAAGGCCATTCGCCATATAATTAACATTTTCTAAGTGCATAACTCTTTTAATAAAAAGTTGATCAGGCATATAAACTATTTTTTAAAAAGTCTATTAACAACCACTTCAAGTTTGACAAGTAAGATTTGTACATGTGAGAGTGCTAACAAGACCAGAAGGATGGACACACAGATGAACTGACAGACAGACAGATGCTCAGTATTACTATGTCCCCTCCAAGCGTGGCATTTTTGAAAAGTATAAATACCCTTTTTTTTCTTCAGTCTGGATAGGGGAATATCTTCATCTGACCCACTTAAACTTAACAGCCTCTTCCTACTATAACTGCCTTTAGGGCGACCTCGTTTTCTTCTGGCTGGAAAATAACCAATGCATTATATATAACAGAATAAATTGAAATCTGTATATTTAAAATAGTTGAATTTTTTTTTTGGCAATTTCAGGGCCAAATTACATACATTTTCTGTTTTTTTATGAAGTAATCTAGTTTAATTGACCGATACAAAAGACAGTAATTGCTTTATTCCATATTTTGATAGAAATGTTTTAATGACACTTATTTATCAAATGTTTTTTTTACCTCTGCTCTTTAACAAAATATACATGTTATTTTAAGATGTAATAAATGCTCCGGCATGATCAGCTCGATACAACTGCAGAGGTTAAACACTGAATAATTGGGGCCAGTATAGACACAACATTTAAGCTTGATACATCACTGAATTTGGATTGTGATTAAGTATTTGACACAGAATAAGTGTGGTCTAATGAACTTAAAAAATTTAAATTTACCTATTATGGTCCAATATCCAAAATCTAAATACATGGATTGATTCAGCATATCAAAGAATCCCAAGAATTCAATTTTTTATGGAATCAAACAAAGTTTAATTTTGGACCCTTTTGACCTCAATATAGACCAATTTGAAAACAGGACCAAAAATTTAAAATCTAAAAACAAAGTTAGATTCGGCATATCAAAGAACCCTAATAATTTGATTTGCTGAAATACATGGTTAGATTTATCATTTAGCATATCAAAGAACCACATATATATTCAAGTTTTGTTGAAATCAAACAATGTTTAATTTTGGACCCCAATTTGGACAAACTTGAAAACTGGGCCCATAATCAAAAATCTAAATACATGTTTAGATTCAGCATATCAATGAACCCCAAGAATTCAATTTTTGTTAAGATCAAACTAAGTTTAATTTGGGACCTTATGGGCCTTAATGTAGACCAATTTGAAAACTGGATTAAAAATTAAAAATCTGAATACACAGTTAAATTCTGCATATCAAAGAACCTCATTAATTCTTTTTTTGATGAAATCAAACAATGTTTAATTTTGGACCCTTTGGACCTCATGTTGACAAATTTAAAAACAGGGACCAAATTCCAAAAACTTAATACACTATTAGATTTTGCCACTCCAAGATTTCAAAAACCCCAGTGAAATTGGTCAAGAAATAAGCAATTTATACAAAGTATTAGAAAAGTATTGTTTTTGGCCCCTATTTCAGAAACAGTTTTGGCCATAACCTTCAAAATCAATCCCAACCTTCCTTTTCTGGTATGGAACCTTGTGGTACAATTTCAGAAAAGTCAATACACTTACACATAAGTTATTGCCTGGAAACTAGAAAAATACTCATTTTGACCCCTTTTGGACCCCTTGTTCCTAAACTGTAGGGACCATAACTCACCAAATCAATCCCAGCCTTCCTTTTGTGGTTTGAAACCTTGTGATTAAATTTCATAGAGATCCATTCACTTAAACTAAAGTTATTGTTTTGAAACTAAGTGTCTTGAACGATGCCAACGACTACAACGACAACATGATACCAATATATGAACGTAATTGTTTTTAGCAGTCGTATAAAAACATGTCACGTTATGCAAATCCAAATCATATAGAAAATTTGGTATGAGTGCCAATAAGACAACTCTCCATCCAAGTCACAATACAAACCTACTTAATTAATGCCAATATGGAATATCCTATAATAATTTAATTTTGTATGTAACGCTTCTTCTGATTGCTGACGTTTTGTTTATCACCTCATAGACATAATTTTGTCATGTGACATTGATGACATCAATGTTTTTTCATGGTTTACTCAGGTTTCAAATGAAATTTAAAATTAAATTATAAGAAATGACTGTAATATTTTTTCTGTCTATTCAAAATAACATAAAAAAGTGGTGCACACTTTAAAATAACCCCCTATGCAGGTTATTCAGTGTGCACCACATTTTTTATGTTATTTCTTCATAGACAGAAAAAATATTACAGTCATTCTTTAAGGAAGCTGGCTTGTCATGTTTTGGATTTTTTGTCAGATTTACGGAATCCTCTGGTTTTATCTAATTGAATGTCTTGAAAAAATTTACCCGGTGACCCCCATTTTTCTTTTTGTAAATCTTTAACATGTATAATGATAAGCCATCTGTAAAAGTCTTATAAAATTTTAATTATTTTTTAATAGTTTTTTAGAACTTAAACTTGTCAATGATAAAGCTATGAAAAGTCAAGAGAGAATAGTTTCCTGCCAAAATTTCAATGACTAATATCTCGAAAACAAGCACGGTGACCTATATTATTTTTTTGCTCTTTGGATTCCTTTTTTTATCCCCTATCAATATAAACTAGTGTTTTGAAAAGTTAATTATTTTGAAAATGAGAAGCGAACTCCCTTTATTATCATACTATTTTATCATGCTAGAAAATGTTTTTTTGCAAAATACATGTTTTCTATATAGATGCTCAACTATTGAATATGAAAATGAATATCACATGCAAATAAAGGAAAGTTGAATTGTTCAAACCTATGTTCACTTCTTCAACATTTTCCTCATCTTCATCTTCTACATCTGCTGATATTCCATCACTGTTGTTGTCTGTAACACATAGGAAAATGTCATCATCATCATCACTGTCATCCTCATCATTATTAGTATGATACACCATGTTTTCTTCTTGGTCATCTAAAATAAAACTTTATTGTAACTTACTAACTAATTTTATTCAGTATAAAATTTAGCACAAAGAAATCATCTTGTACATATTGATATTGGTGAAGAGGACTCAAGAAAAAGTGTCAATTTTAAAAATTTGAAAAACCAGTAAAAAAATATTTCATGTATTTTTGATGTCATACAATATACATTTCATTTGATTTGTTCTATCCCAAATTAGCAAGATATAATAAAGATGTGTACATTATTTTATGTTACTTTACCTTTGGTGAAGAGAAAAATTATCTGTCACTTGTTTGTTTTTGTTTATTCCATTGACCACAGTCTCCCCTCCCCCCACCATACAAAGGATATATATTTTTTAACTACTGCATGTATACACATCAGAGGCAGACAGAAAAGGCTGTAAATCATTTTTATTATTACCGTATTTTCTTTTAAATACAGCATTGTACATCCGCCCGGGTACAATTGACAGTTTGCCGGTGACCCCCTCCCCCTTTTTTGTCTAGCGGTAACTACAGAGTACATTTATGTACTAGCCTTTCAAGACTGTAATGACATACAACAGCAGCTACGATAATTGATTGGGATTTAATTTCAAAGTGATTGGTTTTTTTTACCTAAGACACTCATCATCATATATATTTTTCTCTTCTGTTTGATTTGTAACGATGTACTGCTCGGCACAGCGTAATGACGTAATCGGTGTTTTCGGTATTAAAATTCACGTGAGTGAAGTATACTGAGCAACTTCCTATGAGTCGCGTGAGTATACACCAGACGACAACAAACAGGAATATGGGGAAGTGGTCAATCCAAGAACAAGAAAATGAGTTTTTCCTAACTATTATGGGAGTAAGGTCGATTGACCCACAAACCAAACAGACATACCAAAAAATTGAAAAAATTGTGTGCGGTAGAAGTGCTGATGAGCTTGTGGTATGTATGCAACATCCTAATCGTTCATGCGAGTATAAGCCCGTATCTGTGCGGAGAAGACTTAAACCCATCTTCAATCCGTCTAAAACTTTGCGATAAAAAAAACCCGATTTATTTATACATTTCTCAGAAACAGGTCATGAACCGTAAAATCTGTCCAATCAGAACTAACACTAATCAAATTTATTTATAGAATTTTAATGATTCGAAATAGAAAAAAACCCTTTTCTGATCCGTTATTATAATAAATATACGTTTCTTCGTTGTCGCTTTGGTCAGAAACGTATCATTAAGTCTCTGCTTTGGTAATCAAACGGGTTTTGTGATTGGATTTTTGTGGTTTATAATATATTCAATTTTCTATATTTACACGTAACTAGGGCTTCGTAACTATCGCTACTGCGCATGTTTCACCTACTTTCGATTTTACTATCACGTACTATTTATAATAAGAAACAAAATGCCGTTGCAATTTATTATACATCTGTTGAAGTTATTATTTTGATTTCATAAAAGCTGTTTTACACTATTAGAACTCATGGATGTCTTTTCATATTTGAATTACATAAAAAATCGAGACTTTGTTATACAAAATGAAATGACCTTATTTAAAAACAGAAAAATACATCAATGGAAGAACGTTTGTTTATGAAAATTAATAAAAATTGTTCAATAATGTTGCTATTTTTCAATTGCTAAGATTTGTGGGTGAACTTTTTCTATTGTTAATGTTTATGAATAATTGCAAATATTTATTTTCAAAAGTGGCAGAGAAATTTTGATGCATATATAAGGGCCATATAAGGCACAGACCATTTGACTTACTGAGGGGCTGGTCAATGTAGAAATTAATTTGGGAGAATTGTTTTTTCAAAATCAAATAGTTTGTGCCAAAGGGTCATTTCAAAATGCAGGATCAATTTTTTTTTTTTTGAAATTAAATAATGCAGGAAAAGCCATGCTAATAAAGCAGAAGTAATATAACAGACTGAAGTTTTTCAACAATATGTACACAAAAAGCAGGACTTCTATTATTATTGCACAACAAAAAATAATATGTTTTGAAAAATATCCAGAATGAGTCTTGAGAATCAATAAGCACCTATTCACAACTTTAAATAAATGCAGAGAAATGGAATCAGTACTTGGACAAATTGTACACCTAACAAGCATGTTAAATTGATAATATACACTGTAATTAAACATAAACACTAACAAAATGTCCTCAAAATCTATGGTTTTTGTTGAGCCTGCGACTTTTGTCGCAGAAAGCTCGACATAGGGATAGTGATCAGGCGGCGGCGGCGTTAGCTAACTTCTTAAAAGCTTTATAATTTAGAAGCTAGAAGACCTGGATGCTTCATACTTTGTATATAGATGCCTTATGTTACTAAGTTTCCGTCTGTCATATGTCCATTGTCCTTGACCTCATTTTCATGGTTCAGTGACTACTTGAAAAAAAAGTCAACATTTTTTGTAATGTTAATTTCTTTCTTATTATGGGTAATAGGATAACTATATTTTGTATGTGCGTACCTTGCAAGGTCCTCATGCCCGTCAGACAATTTTCATTTGACCTCGACCTCATTACATGGATCAGTGAACAAGGTTAAGTTTTCGTGGTCAAGTCCATATATCAGATACTATAAGCACTAGGTCTACTATATTTGGTATATGGAATGATTGTAAGGTGTACATGTCCAACTGGTAGGTGTCATCTGACCTTGACCTCATTTTCATGGATCAGTGGTCAAAGATAAGTTTTTGAGTTTTGGTCTTTTTTTCTAATACTATATGCAATAGGTCAACTATAATGTATGGAAATATTTTATGATGTACATGTCAGTCTCACAGGTTTTATTTGACCTTGACCTCATTTTCACGGTTCATTTCTCAGTGTTAAGTTTTTGTGTTTTGGTCTGTTTTTCTTCAACTATAAGCAATAGATCAACTATATTTGATGTATGGAAGGATTGTGAGGTGTATATGTCTGTCTGGCAGGTCTCATCTGACCTTGACCTCATTTTCATGGTTCATTGGTCAATGTTAAGTTTTCATGGTTAAGTTTGTTTCTTAGATACTATAAGCAATAGGTCAACTATATTTAATGCCTAAATTGATTGTAAGGTGTACATGTCTGTCTGGCATGGTTCATCTGACCTTGACCTCATTTTCATGGTTCATCGGTCAATGTTACGTTTTCTTGTTTAAGACTGTTTCTTAGAAACAATAAGCAATAGGTCAACTATGTTTGGTTTATTGAATGATTGTAAGGTGTACATGTTTTTCTCGTTTGGTTTATCTGACCTTGACCTCATTTTCTTGGATCAAGTTAAGTTTATGTGTTACTTGTAGTAAAGCTTTGTATTTAGGACTATCAACATAAAATCAATGGTTAGTAAAGAAGGCGAGACATTTCAGCGTGTGCACTATTGTTTTTAAATAGTACAGTATTTATTTTTCCTTTTAAACAATAACTTAATGAAAAAATATATTTCCATTGCATTGATTTCCATTTTCCATTTTCAGATTAAATTCCATAATACAAAACATGGGAGACATTTGCTAAGACAGAATTTTGATGCCACCACAGAAGCAGGAAAACACATAAATGCTAACCTTAGCAATAGGGTTTTTATAAATTCTTATGAGGCATTAAGTGGTACAGGTGAGTAGTACTTAATTTTGAAATCTTAAAACTTAGAAGTACTTTATAACTATTTGTTCTCAGTAATTTAGATTGCACCATTTGTTCCCTTCCCAGAGGGTGGGGAAGCACTTTTTTCTGAACATGAGGATTTCCGTCAATGACAAACTGAGATATAATGTGAACATATTCGACAAAAACAAAAGAAAGCTTAACATTTGTTTGCCCACTTTATTTTCTATTCTATTCATTTTTTTAGCTAACATTTTTGTAATAATTGGTAATCATTCTCTTTTTGTATGACCCTTGATAATATATGGTGATCCATATTCAGAGAGGACAGACCAAAGGGCAACAATTTGAATTAAGTAAAAAGTATGTTTCAATTATTTGATGTCATATTCTACCACATGTAATATTTTACTTTCATTTATTTGTTTACTTGATTTAACCTATATTCTATCATTCTTTATTTAAGATGACAATTAACCAGGATAATTTATAATTTATTAAGACATGCACATAATTTTTTTCATCCAATCTAATGTGAAACACATATTTTCAGAACCTGAACAAGCACCAGTAATAGCAGTATCAAGAAAAAGGAAAAGGGCTCCTTTCATGTCTGATACAGACTGTCCTGATACGTCTACATCTATCAGCAATAAAGAAATTGATGACAACAAAATAATTGGTAAATTTAAGAAACATAAAAAGCCATGAGCAAGTTAATTTAGCATTTAAATAATAAAATTCAATTCATAATGATTGTATACTTAGTTTCAAGTTGATCTGAACACAACCTCTTGGTGAAAACACACTATCAAATTTTCATGTTCAGTGAAACATGAAATTATGGTCAAAGCATATTATTTCACATATTAATTAAGAAACTGACAAACACAGAAAACCATAAAGAAAAAAAGTCGTTAAATTTTACTTGTTGGTGATTTACGCATGGCAGTTTTGAATTGGAAAAATCCATATCAAAATATGGAATTTAACACCAGTTTTTGGCATGACAGAAGATGTGTTCTTCGCGTATAATTTATGAGAATGAAGACTTCATATGTCATTCATTGTCTTCTTGCATAGTAATTTCTGTTACATTTTAACATTAGGCTCAGACTTCTCCTTACTGGACTTTACTGTAAGTGTAACTGTTTGTTTATTTATTTCACATTTCACATTGACTAGTTGAACGTGGAAGACACACAAATTATGTTTAAACTTGTCACTTTTTTCTCCTGTCTAAAGTCAGTAACTTTAGACTAAGTTAGCGCTGGGTTTTAACATATATTCATTATTTCCATTCTTTATTCCATAATTATGATAAAACTATATACTATAAGTTATCTACGTTCATATCCGTAGATATGGATATTTTAACACCCTGAAGTATCCATATCTACGGATATGAACGTAGATAACGAATTTATCCCAGGTCTTAGTCCAAATCTGTCGATTTTTAGAGAAATTCGACCACTAAGTGTAAAGTGAAAGCAACGTTTTTTTCATTTCCTAAAAATCTTTTATTGAAATTTGGAAATTTGACATATCTTTTACGGGGTGTAGGGTACTACCTTTGGTAGAACCCTACAGGTAGTCAAATATAAGACGTTTTTAATACGGAGACGAGACGGAGAAACTGGAGTGGGTCGAATTTGGCGCTCAATGTTGTGAGAGTTAGATCATAGACAGTGTGACGTCATCGTGGGTCATTTGCATAGCTAGGTCAGTAGTCCAATTCATAGACAATGTGGCATCAAAGTGATGCATTTACTAAAATGAGTGCAAATGATTGACAAAATAAGATTACATCGTTAGTGGATTACAGACATCATGAATAATCTACAGAATTCTATATTTCACAAAGAACAACCATGGAACTAAGGAAAACGCGTGTGACGTCCCCCGGGGTAATGGACAGCAACGTCCGGGTATAATTATATGGGTTAGCAACACTCAGGGGCTATGGGTTTTGTAACGACGTGCAATATCCAATCAAAATCCTAGAAATATACTAAGCCGGGGATAAATATATATGTTACATATATAAAATAGTACTCACCAGGATTAATTTATTGTATATGAGTTTGCCATCATCATCCAGCAAAAATATGGCTGCTTTTCTCATCTTCACTGTATAATTTGCCATTTATTGATGTATTCCTTTCATGCTCCCACTACTAGCCAAGCAGGGGCATTTGAGTCCCATGGATCACATTTTCCATTAGATATTGACTTTAGTTGAAAAAGCGAGACATAGTGATCCTACATTCCTTTGGCGTCGTCGTCAGCAGTGGCGTCCACAAATATTCACTCTGTGGTTAAAGTTTTTGAAATTTTAATAACTTTCTTAAACTATCCTGGATTTCTATCAAACTTGGACAGAAGCTTGTTTATGATCATAAGATAGTATCCAGAAATAAATTTTGTAAAAATAAAATTCCATTTTTTCGTATTATACTTATAAATGGACTTAGTTTTTCTGCTGGGAAACATTACATTCACTCCGTGGTTAAAGTTTTTAAAATTTTAATAACTTTCTTAAATTATCCTGGGTTTGTACCTAACTTGGACAGAAACTTGTTTATGATCATTAGATAGTATCCAGAAGTAAATTTTGTAAAAAAATAAATCCATTTTTTTCCGTATTTTACTTTTAAATGGACTTAGATTTTCTGCCAGGAAACAATACATTCACTCTGTGGTTAAACTTTTTAAAATTTTACAGCTAATTTCCCAATGCATGTAAAGCAATACTTTGGTCAGCTTGCTTGCTTTGTTTGTATATTGTACAATTGTAATTGGGATAACGTGTAATCAAATTTAAATACAGAATGTATAATATATACAGGTTAAAATATGCCTATATGTATTGTTTGAAGATGTCAATGTTAATTATGAAACTTGAATTAAGGTTTATACCAACAGAGCAAGCAAGCCTACCAATGTTTTACTCTACGAGCATTAGGAAATAAGCTGTAATAACTTTCTTATTCTATTTTGGATTTGTACCAAACTTGGGCAGAAGCTTGTTTATGATCAAATGCTAGTATCTAGAAAGAATTTTATTTTCTTCCAGTTAACATTACATTCAGTCTGCAGTTAAAGATTTTAAACATTTATTAGATTCATAAGCTATCCTGGATTTTTACTAAACTTGGACAGAAGCTTCTTACAATCAAAAGATAGTATCAAGAGGAATATTTTTATCGATTTATTTCCTCATTTTTGTTGAGCCTGCAATTAACAGAAAAAGTAGACGAGACACTGGGTTCCACTGAATCCCTTATGAATTTTTTAGCACCTCACCACTAGGCAAAGGGGGCATTACATTTGACCAAAGTAAGAGGTTTGTAAATACAGAAGAAGATGTGGTATGAGCACCAATGAGACAACTCTGCATCCAAGTCACAATGTACTAAAAGTTAACAAATATAGGTAAAAGTACGCCTTCAACACAGAGCCATAGCTCAAATGTATGTCTGTTTGTCTGACTGTCATAGGTCACACAAGTTTGCCTCAACCAAAATAAAAAAACAGACAGACTTTTGAATCGATGAAACAATGTAAATTTAATATTGATGTATATTTACAGGAAAATTGACTATAAGCAAGGCTCAACTTAAGGAACCACCTACTGAGTATAAATTAAGAGAGGTAAAAGAAGAATGGGTAGGGGAGTTGAAAAACAGAATCATCTCATCTGGACAAAAGATGTTAGGAAAAATTCTTCCTGTCTTGGTGGATTCTGACAAGGTATATTTTTGAGCTTCTATTTCATATGATGAAATAATTCTTGCCGATCTTGCAATCCTCAGACTTGAGTGTGTAGATTCAAACAAAATCTTTTGTTAACTTCCTTGCTAGCTGAAGTGTAAAGTCATTATTAGGTAAGATATGCTACCCTTATTTTGGAGTAGTTGAGTTCAATAAACAGATAGATAGGTTATTCTTCAGATTAGTCGACTTTCAAAGGAGGGTAGTATATCTTACCTAATAATGACTTTACACTTCAGCTAGCAAGGAAGGTAACCAAAGTCTGATGACTGTGAGGTGACTTGATTTGATTGCTTGAATAATTTTTCATAATAAAAGCCAAGAAAACTTAAGCAACAAATTTATTGTATAAAAAAAGTGCTTAAAATTTCAAATTGGCATACATGAAGAAACTGCACCACAGATCTAAAAATTGCTTACAGGCTACAAGTCTACATAATCAAGCTACAAACTAAAAATGATTCCCTGTCACAGAATTCAAGAAAACTTAAACTAAAATTATCGAATTCTAGAAAACAAACAGAAAAATTTTCCTTGTACAATGATTCGTTAGTTTTAAAAATATTGGCAAACAGGGAGTGAAAACATGGCAGATACAAAAATTCCTTACGCTCAACAATACAATAAAAAACTGTGGGGGTTACTAGACCTTTTGTCACTTACCTTTCGTGACACACATAATTTTGCCAATAAATGTTGTAAATGAATTATTGCCCTTTAGAAACTTATTTCATTTTTTTGTTTATATACAAAAACTTATAATGATAGATAAAAAGGTGACTGAAAACATTTTTTTTATTATTAAGTTATACAAATTGAATTAATACAAAATTACTATACTGTAATTATCTAATTTTTGTACATTAAAAATCTTTCAAATTGTATTAAAATCTATATATGAATTTTGAAGGTATCAAAAAAGGATGATTTCAAGCAAGAAGATATAAACCAATATACATTCTTAACATTAGGTGGCAATCATATTCGGAGAGCACTTGAAAAGGTGGTTGAAATTCAGTAAGTATACTGTAAATTTAATAAATAGTGTTATTATATTACCTCACATATATATACTTTAATAAGACAATTCAGTTGTTTTTGAAAAAAATCCTGTCAAGGGTGACATCAGATGAGGGGCCTGATGGGGGGGGGGTCTCATCACGATTTATTTGATTTTTTTGTCAATCACGATTCACAGAAAATAAATTTCCATGATCACGGATCACGAAAATATAAAAAAAAAAATCTGTAGAAAAACGGATCACGATAGCGAAAATGCGCCGATCACGAAGAACGAAAATAACCCATCAGGCCCCTCATCAGATAAATATAAACAAGACGTACATCCCACAACAGTGGACAATAAAACACTAGGACATCACAAGTAAAACAGAATAATATCTTAACTTTTACATACATATGGAAAATAATTAAAGATTGACACAGTTTCAATCGTATTTTGACTAACTGCATGGTAAAACAAGTGCTGTGTATTTATACTTGCCAAACATTACCACTTTAAACATAAAGGCTTCTTAATCTTAAGAGAAACAAGAATGTGTCCCCAGTACACAGATGCCCCATCCACACTATCATTTTCTATGTTCAGTGGACCGTAAAAATGGGGTAAAATCCCTACTTTGAAATTAAAATTAGTAAGATTATGTCATAGGGAACTTGAAGCAGGACAGAGGGACAAATGGACGGATTAAAAGACGAATGAACAGACCAGAAAACATAATGCCCATAAATGGGGCTTAATAAATGGGGCATAAAAATTGGGCATAAAAAGACGTAGATCTCAAATTATAAAGTTATATAAATATACATGTGCAGAATGATGGATGCACAGAAGGATTGAATTATGGATTATGAAGTATGTCTTCCAAAAATGCTCATTTCTGCAGGTGACAAATATCACTTCTATGATTAATAGTTATTTAAATAAATTATGGAAAATGTTTGATCTTTCAGAGAAGTGACATGTATGGTGTATGTAGGACTGACACAAGAAGAGGCACTGAGACTTGCCTGCATTGACAATGACATGGCTAAGTCATTGCCATTTACTTTTCAGGTAAATTAATCATAACATTAATAAATTGCATCGCTGAGTGAAGCTTGATAGGACGAGAGAGGTCCAAGCCTGAACAGCTGTGGCACAAAAATGGACACAATACTTTAGCTTGATACCGGTCTAAATTTGGATTGTAATTAAATATTAGACACATAATAGGTTTCTGACACAGAATAATTGTAGTCAAAGAACTTAGAATTGGTTATGTAATTTGATTTTATATATTTTTTTGCTTTTGTGCAATACACTGTATGGTTGTGACTTGACCCCCATAAAAAAAATATCACCAAAAAGATTTTTGCTGTCATATAAAAATGACCGACTTGTGAACTAAAAATAAAACATGATGATTAAAAAACTTCACCCAAGTAAAGTTTGAAAGAAATCCGACAAAAAAAAAAGCGCTATCAAGTTGACAATCATATATATCTTTGAAATTAATATCCTATCCAAGCTTTAAACATAAAAATGAAGACACTATCCTGGTGACTAACAAATATCAATGATTTTCATCTTATCCCTCTCCAGAAAAAATCAATCCCATTTAAACCTTTATTGTAAACAACACATCATTCAAGTTTGAAGGAAATATGACAAAAAATGAAGGCAATATCCTAGGTACCAACAGGAATTTTGACAAAGACGGATGGACAAAGGGATGGACCAGTGAAATATGTCTTTACAAAATTTGTCGACTGAGGTATAATTAGGAGTAAACTTTATGTTTTTTTATGCACTGACAGCATCAATTGGTGATTCTATGAAGTTATCCAATCAAAATGAAGTTTGAATTATTGTTTTATCACATTATTTACATTACTGCATACAACTGAAAATTACAAATACTCATTGGCACTCATACCACATCTTCTTATTTATATGATTATCTCTACATGTTTTATTGATTTAAATATATGAGTAAAGAATATTTTGTTTTTTAAAGTACTAATATACAATTATTTTATTTTGTAAAAGTATGCATTAACTTTTTTGATAAAAGTAAACATAGACTTTATTTGTGCAAGTGCAAATATTAATCTATTACAGCAAACTATAATTTAATACACAAATGATTTACTTTTATAATTGCTTTCTTTTTAACAGGATAAAATAAAGTTGGCACATCAGTTCCACTTAGAAGGTCAGGAAGATTTGAATAGAAAAATGAAGGAGGTCCTTAGCCAAATTGAATTAAAGGTAAATATTTAATAAATATAGATAGCACCAGTCTACTGTCCTCTTTCCATTGAAAACTATTTCAAATATTTTTTCCTCTGCCTCTAATGACAATTCAGTTCAATTATGTGCTTAGATATCCTGTGTTAAGAAATTCAACTGAACACAAACAGAAAGATTCCACTAGCATCTGCATGTATACATGCCTATAAAAGTCTTTTTGGAATTATTGGGCCACATGCTATGCTGTTCAATTTTTTAAACTTGTTTTGGCTATGTAACTTTTTAGTTTGGATCATCACTGGGGAAAGAAGTACTGTGTCTGGTGTGCCAAAGTTTTGTATATTTTTTTTTCAAAATTTATGTGGAAATTGTAAGTTGACAATTCACCTATCATTAACTTGAAATGATGTTATGTCCCTTACAATGATATATTTGCACAAGAGCCCTTTTTAAATCTCAGTGTTCTAGTTATGCCCCCACTGGAAACAGTAAGTTTTACACATATCTGTTTTTATGTACCAACTTTAGTTAGTCTCAACCAAATGTAATGAAACTTATAAAGAATGCTTTCATTACCACAAAACACAAGATCAAGTTCCAATTTGACGACATCACTTTGACCGTTTTTCAGTTAAGCCCCTTTATCAATGGGAATGTTGCTCAATTTTTTGTCCGTTCTCTAATGTGCCTCATTCATATGGTATAAAACCTGTAAATTATGCCCCTTTATAATGTTATATGCAAAAAAAGGGGGGGGGGGGGGGGGGCTCAGTGTCACATTGACACATACATTCTCTATTTGTTTGAATCTATTTTTTTCTGATTTTATTCATAAATACAATGGTAATAATACAGGTAGAATTATTTCTTACAGGAAATTAAGGACAGCATAAGTACAATACTGAGTGTTGCACGTTATCCAGAGGATTCATTCCAGTTGTTTGAAACCATAGTTAGAAACTATGAACTTCAAAAGGGTGTAAACCATAGTGTTCCGCAAAGGGTAGGTAAAGTTAGTAGGAAAAGAAAATCAAAATTTGAAACTTTATAAATGTCTGAACATTTGAAATATACACTAGTGATGGCTAATTAACACAACTGCCTGGATTAATATATTATAAATTAAAAATTATGTAGGTAAAAGACATGATTGCCAACAATTAACTAGAATGTGTAATGTCCAGTGACATGTTAAATTATTTAACTTTATTTTTTTTATTATTACATTTTTAGCTCACCTGGCCTAAAGGGCCAAGTGAGCTTTTCTCATCACTTGGTGTCCGTCGTCCGTCGTCGTCTGTCTTTCGTCATTGCTAACTTTTACAAAAATCTCCTCTGAAACTACTGGGCCAAATTTAACCAAACTTGGCCACAATCATCACTGGGGTATCTAGTTTAAAAAATGTGTCCGGTGACCTGGCCAACCAACCAAGATGGCCTCCATGGCTAAAAAAAGAACATAGGGGTAAAATGTAGATTTTGGCTTATATCTCTGAAACCAAAGCAGTTAGAGCAAATCTGACATTTGGTAAAATTGTTTATTAGGTGAAGATCTATCTGCCTTGAAATTTTCAGATGAATCAGACAACCCGTTGTTAGGTTGCTGCCCCTGAATTGGTAATTTTAAGGAAATTTTGCCGTTTTTGGTTATTATCTTGAATATTATTATAAATAGAGATAAACTGTAAACAGCAATAATGTTCAGCAATGTAAGATCTACAAATAAGTCAGCATGACCTAAACGGTCAGTTGACCCCTTAAGGAGTTATTGCCCTTGATAGTCAATTTTTAACAATTTTAATAAATTTTGAGAATTTTTATTACAAATTATTTTCCACTGTAACTAAAGGACCAAGTTCATTATAGATGATTATAGTTAATTTTTAACAGTTTTTGTAAATTTTTGTAATCTTTTACAAAAATCTTCTCCTCTAAAACTACTGAGACAAATTTAACCAAACTTGTCCACAATTGTTTTTTCAAAATCAAAAACCTGTTGTTGGGTTACTGCCCCTGAATTGGTAATTTTAAGAAAATTTTGCAGCTTTTGGTTATTATCTTGAATATTATTATAGATAGAGATAAACTGTAAACAGCAATAATGTACAGCAAAGTAAGACCTAAAAATATTTCAACATGACCAAAATGGTCAATTTACCCCTTAAGGAGTTATTGCCCTTGATAGTCAATTTTTAACAATTTTAATAAATTTTATGAATTTTTATTACAAATTATTTTCCACTGTAACTACTGGACCAAGTTCATTATAGATAGAGATGATTGTACACAGCAGGAATGTTCAATAAAGTAGGATCTACAAACACATGACCATCACCAAAACACAATTCTGTCATGAATCCATCTTACTCCTTTGTTTAATATGCACATAGACCAAGGTGAGCGACACTGGACTCTTTAGAGCCTCTAATTTTAGAATTAAATTTAATATTGCTTTATGTTGATTGCAATGGGATTTTCCAAACAGTAATGTTTCTAGCCCAAAAATACAGGTCAAAGCTACCAAGATTCAAGATTCAAACTACCAAGCTACCATGTTAATTTAACTGAAAGTTGTAGTATTTAACATTCTATTTTTTTTTCTCACAGCTATTTAGATTACTGCAGGCAGAATCGAATGTTACAAGGGCTCATTTCCTGCAGATGGCAGCTGACAGCAAAAGTTTACAAAAGGCAGCTGAAAGTTTAGTAAATAATAAAAAGGAAAAAGCTCTTGAAAGGATTTTCACTGAACAGACTGGGGAAGATTTGTGGAATTCGGCTGTTGAGAAATATCCTAATTATTCGAAAAAACTGAATGAGTTCAAAGGTAATCTAATTATATAAGCTGAAAGAAAAAGTAATAGTCAACATTATAGTAAAAAATATAATAATGAAAAAAAGTTGAAAGGACAATCAATAAGAGACACAATAATTTTAGCATAAACAACTTAGGTTAACTTACCTAATAACTTTCCTAAACTATACTGGATTTTTACCAAACTCAGAAAGAAGCTTGTTTTTTTTCATCATGCTTGAAGATACAGACTTCATATTTGGCATATAGTTTAACCATGACAAGGACCATAACTTTGCAAAAAATTATTAGACTGGAACAAAATTCAAATGTTATCTATAACTTGTCATGTTTTAACAAAATAGTAAATATGAAGTCTATACCTTCAAGCATAACAAAAAAAAGTTGAAAAACAGATTACTTAATATGTGATTTTTCTAAGTCCAAGGTCTATAAGTCTGCAAAAAAAAAAAACAACGTCAGACCAGAACAAAATTAGAACTAAAAATTTGTAAATTGTTTTGGTTATACTACATACCAAAAATCAAACTACTATCTTAAAGTATGAAAAAAGATTGTGGAAAGCTGATTTGCCGGATGGAGGGATTGTCAGACAGACAGACAGACAGAGTGCAAACCTAAAAACCCCTTCAACTTCCTTGGAAGGGGACTAAATATGAGGTTTTGCAAGACTATTTTTTCCAGGTGTATATTTGGTTGCCCTATGCACCATTGCAATATTGAAAAAAAAAAATTTAATTACTTCAAATTTTTTAATTACAATTTCGCAGAAAAATTGTGCTTATAAAAATTTATGCTTATAAAAATTTATTTTATATTTCAGACATGAAAACACCAAAATATATACCGGACAAGCTAATACAGTACTGCAAAAAGGCAAAGGAAAGTGAAGACCAATTAGAAAAAACCAAAATAGAACTTAAAATTATTGTAGGGTCAAGAGATGTGTCCAATAACAAAGATGTTTCAGCAATAATATCAAAATACTCAAAAATTATTTTGGATGAAGTAAATAAAGTGGAGGGTCTTCATTTTGAAGAGTAATTATTATAATGTCAGTAATATAAATTTAAATTTCAGTATTTTTTCTATTTTTGGGTCACTTGTGAAAAATAAAAAAATTGAGCTTTTGCAACCTTTTGTATTTTCTGTTCAATAACTTTTGAACTGTATAACCAAAGCTTTTAAATTTAATTATGTTTTTTCCAATGAATAAATGAAAGACAACTTCCATATTGATATGTACAATACAATTTTATATATGATGTTCATATATATATTATAATTACACCTTATGTAAGAATCCTGGGTTTTGATTGGTTGATATCCAGTATATTTTTCACCAATTTACTGTTATCAAATGAATATCGTTCATTTTTTAACGCCGCTGGAGTATATGCAAAAAGGATATGCCTTTTTTTACCCTCTCTGCCATGGTATTTGCCAAAAAATACTCTATCCGACTGGACGCTTGTAATGTCTTGATCATCAATGTGTTTTTGAACGTTAACATTCTGTGTAATTAAACAGATATAGCATGTTCTTGAGGGGTATTTGCGAAAAATACCAGTCTTGAGAATGAATTTCCCTCGCCTTACGGCTCGCGAAATTTAACATTCTCTCAGCTGGTATTTTACGCAAATACCCCTCTTTAACATGATATATCTGTTCAAAAGTCCTTTCAACCCAAGGTTTTTAACTTTGTATATGTTGTTAATGGAAATCAAATCTAGGTAAAGTTTGATATTGATAATTTTACTGAACATTCATGAGTTATGTTCATCGAAATATTGAAAAATAGCATGACACAAAAACAATTTCTTAAAGTTTTGATTAGTTTATTTCATGAATATAATTGAAATAAAATATTAACTTTAAACAGTAAATATATTCACCATAGTTAGAGATACAAATAATTACATCTAAATCAGCCAAAGTCTTCATTTAATGCCTTAATAGAGTTATTTCACTTTTAGAAATTTTCACTAAATTAATCAAGATTTATTTTAAACTTTTAAATTTGTTTATCTATGAATCTGTAAGATCAATGTATAGTAAGCTTGAGCTGATTGAAACTTATGGAATCTTGTTGGTGTTGAATGTTTAAAGCAGTTATTGCAAATTTGATTGGTTGATATAATAAGCAGGTAAATTTCTTTCTGACATTAAATTTTCAGTAAAATTGACAACCTACTATAATGTTATGGGACAATAACCCCTCACTTGTTTTACAGGAAAATTTGCTGTTTTGGATTATTATTTCAAATATTTTTTATACAGAAAGAGGAAATGTACATAGCAAAAATGTTAAGAAAAGTAAAAACACATTATTCAACTTACCCCTGACCAAATTTATTATCCTTACAAGATATTTTTTTCATTTTTTTCTTTTTGAGAACTATACAAGTAAGAATTATTTGGTCATCTCAGGAAGATGATATTCTCGATTGAGCTGGTAAATATGTATACATGTATATTCAACCAAATTTTTATATATTTTTTCATTAAATTATTTAATTTAGTTGTCTATTGGAAAATTTGTATATTCTATATTATACATAAATCAACTTTGTACAGGCTTATTATAAAATTTTGTACAATATATAGAAATAGATGAGTTTAGTTAAAAAAAAAAAAAGCATTCAGGTTTTCTGGGTATTTTAAGATACTATTAAGATTGTGATGCTGGTTCATACACAAGTAAGTTTGTGCTCAACATTATCAAATTATTTTTCTAATCAGTTAAAGTTCAAATTAATACATAAATTCATTTCTGTTTCACATCTTAGTGAGTAAGAAAATTTTCAAATAGTATTAAAGGGAATTAACTCCTAAAATCACATTTTATAACTATTAATCGTTAAATAAGCTGCTTTTTAAACAATTCTGCAATATATAAATGGTGTGTTTTTTTATACGACCTCTTAAGGATGTACTTAGGTGAGGTTTTGGAATAAGTGTCAAATGTTCGGACTCATTGGTGTTTTTCAATATGATACAAAGTAAAATATTTTGCCCCATAACACCTATTTATCTTTTAACATAAGACTTAAAAGCTTATAAAAGGTCATTTGACAAAATTTAAGCAGATTCTTGATTTTCTTTCTTTTGATTTGAGACCCAAATAATACCAATGCAAATATAAGGTAAAAGTCCGAGTCAGCCTTTTCCCGCCATATTTTATAAATCAAATATCTCGAAAAGGAGCTCCATGACCTATCAATATTTTTAGCTTATTTTGAACCTTAACTATTGCTCTTCCAGCTTAAAGTATCAATTTTGAATTCTTGATTTATTTAATTTTACCTTAGATCACCTAAGTACATCCTTAAATTAAAATTTGTTTGGTCCTATATTGGTATCACATCTTCGTCGTTGTCAGTGTCGTTCAAGGACGGATGATTTCCAGATAATAACTTTAGTATAAGTGAATAGAAATCATCAAAATTTTAACACAAGGTTTATAACCACTAAAGGAAGGTTAGGATTGGTTTTGGTCCCAATATTTTAGGAATTAGGGGCCAAAAAGGGGCACAAATAAGCATTTTTCTTGGTTTTTCACATAATAACTTTAGTATAAGTACAAAGAAATCTATGAAATTTAAACACAAGGTCTATGACCACCAAAGGAAGGTTGGGATTGATTTTGGGAGTTTTTAGTCCCAACAGTTTAGGAATTAGGGGCAAAAAGGGGCACAGATAAGCATTTTTATTGGTTTTCGCACAATAACTTTAGTATAAGTACAAAGAAATCTATGAAATTTAAACACAAGGTCTATGACCACTAAAGGAAGGTTGCGATTGATTTTGGGAGTTTTAGTCCCAACAGTTTAGGAATTAGGGGCAAAAAGGGGCACAGATAAGCATTTTTATTGGTTTTCGCACAATAACTTTAGTATAAGTAAATAGAAATCTATGAAATTTAAACACAAGGTTTATGACCACTAAAGGAAGGTTTGGATTGATTTTGGGAGTTTTGGTCTCATCAGTTTAGGAATTAGGGGCAAAAAGGGGCACAGATAAGCATTTTTATTGGTTTTCGCACAATAACTTTAGTATAAGTAAATAGAAATCTATGAAATTTAAACACAAGGTTTATGACCACTAAAGGAAGGTTTGGATTGATTTTGGGAGTTTTGGTCCCATCAGTTTAGGAATTAGGGGCCAAAAGGGTCCAAAATTAAACTTAGTTTTATTTCATCAAAAATTGAATTCTTGGGGTTCTTTGATATGCTGAATCTAAACATGTACTTAGATTTTTTTATTATAGGCCCATCTTTCAAGTTGGTCCAAATCAGGGTCCAAAATTAAACTTTGTTTAATTTCAACAAAAATTGAATATGTGGGGTTCTTTGATATGCTGAATCTAACCATGTGTTTAGATTTTGGATATCGGACCATAAATGTCCAATTTAAATTTTTCCAGTTCTTAGACCACATTCATTCTGTTAAGAGCTGTATCAAGCTTTACTGTTGTGTCCATACTTGCCCCAACTGTTCAGGGTTCGACCTCTGCGGTCGTGTCAAGCTGTGCCAGCGGAGCATCTGGTTCAGTTATGAATTAAATGTTGTGTTGTTAAGGTGTAATTAAAAAAAATAGTATGTTACTTCATTAACTTGTTTACTATTTGCCATAAACAATTTTTTAATGAATTATAAAGAATTTTAATATTGTTTAGCATACCACTGAAAGAAAATCTGTAACTGAGAATCATCTACTTTCAGTTAGGTTATGAGTTATTTTGAACATATTATGTGAGTTGTATCATGTATATGTCTAAACAAAGATTAATATATTTTTAATAAAGTTAAAAGCATTTTTATTATCAAATGCTATCTTATTGAAAATTTTAATCAGAAGTTTTTGTTTCTGAATAGTAGAAGCCAAAACCCAACTTTGATTAATATCAGCTATAGACAACACTTATCTGCATTAAGATGTAGATGTTTTAAAAACCCATATCCTTTTAAAGTGCATGAAATAACTGGTTACAACACTCACTCACCATGTTGTTATGTTAACTATACATGTATATAAAAATTAGAGGTGGTGTGGTTTCCAATGAGACAATTCCCATCCTAGATCTGAAGTAGTAAATATAAGAAACTGAAGGTCACAGTGCAGCCTTCAACACTGAGCCTTCACTCACACTGCAAAGTAAGCTATAAGATTGCAAGGACAACATAGTGTTAATACATCACATTGTTAATCAAATACTAATAGCCAGCTTAATATATATTGTACAAAAAAACAGTTTAGAGTGTTTCAATAAAGCTATTGAGAGAAAATAAATGCAATCAAAAATGTACTTTTGAGTCATGAGTACAACATAATCATGCTACGAACAGGCTTAGTCAACTGAATAAGTCTACTAACAGCAGGGACTTAGTCAGCCTGCTCTTTGCATAGTACAACCATTGTCAAATAACACTGTTCACAGCACAATCTTAGCCTGTAGGGTGCACAGGGTAAAAAAGACTAAGATTGTGCTGTGAACAGTGTCAACTAAACCTGTGCACAGCACAGCCTTAGTCTACTAACCCTGTGCATAGCAGGGCCTAAGTCAACTAACCCTGTGCACAGCACGGCCTAAGTCAACTAACCCTGTGCACAGCACGGCCTAAATCTACTAACCCTGTTGACAGCACAGCCTAAGTCAACTAACCCTGTGCACAGCACAGCCTAAGTCAACTAACCCTGTGCATAGCACAGCCTTAGTCTACTAACCCTGTGCACAGCACGGCCTAAGTCAACTAACCCTGTGCACAGCACAGCCTAAGTCAACTGACCCTGTGCACAGCACAGCCTAAGCTTACTAACCCTGTGCACAGCATGGCCTAAGTCAACTAACCCTGTGCACAGCATGGCCTTAGTCTCCTAACCCTGTGCACAGCAGGGCCTAAGTCAACTAACCCTGTGCACAGCACGAACTTAGTCAACTAACCCTGTGCACAGACTGTCAACTTACCATGTGCATTACAAGGCCTAGTTAACTTACCTCTGCAAAAATGTATGTTACAATTTAAAAAATTTTAGCTGTATACATATCTGTATGGTGTAATAGATAAGCTTCATTCTTCATAATATACATAAGGTATGTCAAACCCAACAAAACTCAATGATCATGTTCAGTATGGATATGATGTTAACCTTACTCGTTTGCTCTTTCACTCAAAAATGCATATGAGACATGAAAAGTGTCTGAAAGATAAATATAATTAAATTCCAATTAAATAATAATTCTAGAATTATTTAATACCCTGTTATATATATATATACACAATACAAATATTAAAGCATAAAAGACATACACCATATACATGTATGTCATGCGCAGTTACGCTGGACTAAGTTAAATGTGGTTAACACAAGATCAAACA